CAGTATTTATAAAGCATAAGTAGTATACACTAATGTCCTAGGCCCTCACATTTACTCACCACTCACTGACTCACCCAATCCTGCATGGTAAGTTCCCTATATGGGTCTACCATCTGTATTAAAAAAAAAATCTTCACCCAAGCTCCCTTCATGGTAAGTGCCCTATATGGGTCTACCATCTGTATTAAAAAAAAAAATCTTCACCCAAGGACATTTTTTCATTGATTTTAGAGGGAGAGAATGGGAGAGAGAGAGAGAAACGTCGGTGGGTTGCTTCCCGTATGTGCCTCGCCCGAGGGCTGTTCACTCCCGGACCTGGAACTGAACCCGAAACCTAGGCATGTGCCCTGACCCAGAATTGAACCCGAAACCTTTCAGACAATGCTCCAACCAACTGAGCTGCACTGGCCAGGGCCATTTGTATCATTTAAAAAAAAAAAAAAAGATTTTATTTATTTATTTATTTATTTTGAGAGAGGGGAATGGATGGAGAAAGAGAGGGAGAGAAACATCAATTGCTTGGTTGCCTCTTGTACGTGCTCTGACTGGGGACTAAACCTGCAACCCAGCCATGTGCCCAGACTGGGGATGGAACTGGCGACCTTGAGGTCCGCCGCCCAACCAGCTGAGCCACACCAGTTAGGGCCATTTGTGTCTTTTGTACAGTACTTTTAAGTACTTTTTATATGTTTAGATATATGTAGATACACAAATACTTACACTGTGTTACAATTGTCCACAGTACTTGGTAAAGCGATGTGCTGTACAAGCCTGAAGCCCAGGAGCAATAGGTTGCACCATATGGTCTGTGTGTGTAGTAGGCTAGACCATATAGGTTTGCATAAGCACACACTATGATGCTCACACAATGACAAAGCTGCCTAATGATGCATTTCTCAGAAAGAATCCCTGTTGTTAAGCAGGGTATGACTGTATTGCAAAGTTAGAGTTTGGCATTGTCCCTCTCTTCTGCCCTCAGAGTGTGAAGATACACATTTACATTCTGAACTCCCAGGTGGAACTTTGAAAACTCCTCTTCTCCAGGGCCTCTGTCTTGGGAATGTGCTCCCTGTGAGTGTTGGGGTCTCATTGCCTGGGCGTGGAGGGGCTGTGGAGGCAGCCGCTGGCTCACCTGCGGGCATCCCTTTCCTGTTCCGACAAGCCCGTTCTCTGGACTGTGTCACCAAACTCCATCGTCAGCGCAGTGAGGAGGGCGGGGCGACCCGCCCCCAGCCCAGCAGGCAGGAGGGTGCCAGGCAGAGGGTGCCCGGGTGAGTGTGCTCTCCTCACCTGGACGGAGTGGGGGGCTCTTCTCCCTCCTCCCTCCTGCCCCTGCAGGCCAAGAGAGATGTAATTGTGAAGAGGATAGAAATTGGCCCGGTTGGAAGGGGGTTGCTCTATTCTTGCTCTTTGAGCCTTCCAGCTTTGGGTTGGACTGAGCTGCGTTTCCTAGAGAGTGCTGCGTAAGCCATTGGCACAGGGGTGAACAGCTTACATTTTAATAGCTATGTTTTATTTGAATATGAATTAGAATTAGCACACAAATGTCACAATTCTTATTACTCAGAATAAGATTTGATTTAAAGAAAAATATTCAGTACATAATAGTTCTCATGGGATGATATATGGCACGATGGCGAAGGTTGAATGAGAATGACTGAATTTTGTGATATTTGAAATAGGCTGGGTTAGATCTGGCATGTATTTCTCAGCTGCAATGGCCAAACTGAGGGGAGGTTCCATGGCGCCCAGATTAGGGGGAGTCGTTGGGGTGGCTGCGGTCGGAGAGGGGAGGCTGGCCAAAGGCAGGCGGCACACACTCACACACATGCAGACGCGACCGTACTTCTTAAATGCATGCATCTCCCATGCTTGGGTGGTAGGTGCGTGGGGAGTTTGGGAGCGACTAATGCTTTGGAGAACAGAATTAACAGTCACAAGGGTCTCTTAGAGGTTGACAGGTGGGAGGCAAACAAGATGAAATTGGGAATTCATTCACGTAAGAAATGCCTGTTGAGCCCCCACTTGCCAGGCACCTTGCTAAGTGCAGGGGATACAGAAATGAGGAAAGAGACAAAATCCCTTCCTCATGGAGCTCACATTCTAGTGCTGGGAGACTGACAAACGAAACGCGTAAGTAAAACACATGGTATGTTAGGAAGCGATAGGTGCTTAAGTGGAAGCAAGCAAGCAAGCAGAGGAGGGGTTAAGTGTCCGAGCAGGGATGGCCTCGGTGTTGCAGTTCTGGTGTCGGGCAGCTGGGGAGGGTGACTTTTAGCAACGTGGGTCACCAGGGAGGAGCATTCCTGGAAGAGGGAACAACCAGTGCAAAGGCCCTGAGGCAGGAGTGTTCCTGGCATGTTTGAGAATAAATTAGGGGGTAAACTAGTTTAGGTGTCTTTCATGCCCTATAATATTTTTCATTATCATAATTGCAATTAAATACTTGTCCAATTACCTTTTCAATGTCTGTTTCTCTACTCGACTCTAAGCTTTCTTGGTGTTGGGGTGGGGCCTTGCTCTCTGCTAAATTCTTAACTCTCAGCACAAGCCCAGGCATACAGATGCTTCAACCACATTTTGTTGAATAAATAAGTAAATGTGAATAAATGGCTTTTGGGTCAAAAAATTCACTGCACAAACAGAACAGGCTTGAGAGTGATCAGAGAGAAAAGAGGCTGGGAAGTTGTAGCTACGCAGGGGGACGGAGGGGCACGCGGTGAGAGAAGGGGGCTCCGGGGAGCTACCAGGAGCTGGGCTGGTGAGGGGCTTTCTCGAAGGCAGGACCGGGGGGCCAGGAGCTGCAGAGCATGAGGTGTGGGTGAGGATGGTTAATCTGGAGCAAAAATATAACCGAATATGTATAACCCCTTAGAGCGCTTGCATTGCCAAGTGCAGTGTTAAGCTTAGCGTTCGAACCATTTACACCTTTGCTGCTGCACACATTGGGGCCGCTTTGTGGACTTTGGTGTGCAGGGACAAATTACTTAGGCTGTGAGGGACCGAGCATTCAAATCTCTAAATGATTTTGTTGTTCTCTCTCCATCATTGCATGATTTTTTTTTTCTTCTAGGGGAAAACATATGTGTTACAGCAGCATTTGAGAACCTGGGGATTCAAGAAAGCCCCTGCCATGAATGGGAATTCTTTAAAACAACTGCTCTTTGGTGCCCAGTGTAAGCCAGACCCTGAGCTGGGTAGAATGGTGGACAAGACAGACATGGTGGAGTACTGGGCAAAGGGTTAGTGGGCTGCTCCCTGGAGCGTGGTCTGAGCTCACTTGGGGGTCCTGGCTCCAGCCTGATCAGCCGTGTTGCGTGCCCTTGAGCCGATCACTCAGACCACAGAGCAATGGGTCAAAGCAGGCTTAGAGGTCATCTGGTGCAATCTCTTAGGTTACTCAAGGCTGCGCAGTTTCTGCACCCCGCCCTGCACCCTACAGGGCCTCAGAGTCTTTAAGAGTAAATTGAGGGCATTGGACCTTGAAGCTCACTTGGGCTATAATATTTGGTAACATTACAAATATGGGGAAGTTCCAAGGAGGTGAATTTGGCCCTGTCCAAACGTGAGTGGGGAGGTGTGGTAGAGTCCAGTCTATGCAGATCTTCCCCAAGCCTATTTGTGGGACCCAGAAGAAAAGCACCTGGCTCTCTTTGCCTCTTCAAAGCAGTTCCAGGGGTTAGGGTTTGGAGATGGGTCCTCAGTCAGGAGCGGTGGAGTATCTCTGGGGCTCGGCCAGGACTGATTTCCTCATGTTTTGGGCGTTTACTATGCTGAGTCTCTGCTTGTCCTTGCTTTGAGTTACATTGTGAGAGGCCCCAGTGTCATAGCTTCAAGGTGCCTCAGCTCTAGGAAAGGGGGCGGGTGCAGGAAAAAATAACTCTCTGGCCACGTAAAGAAGACATTTTGGAAATTTCTAAAAACCAGAGCTTCCCTATGCTGCTTGCCAGCTGCAGAGGCGCCTCAGTGGGGGTGACGAGATGCCTCCTTCCGGGGTCCTGCGCCAGGGGGAGGCTCCCTCAATGCTAGGCACACCTGGGGCTCCTCCGCCCAGCGGGCTCTTGGGGCAGAGACAGTATCTCTCTCTGGGGAACCCCAAAGCTCCTGTTTTTGCTCCAGCCCCACAAGGGAGTATGTTTCTAAATGGACATTTTATTTCATAGCCTAGGTGCCTCTGGTTTGTAACCTGACAGACAACGCAGTGCTTGACTCGAGGGGGTGGGCCTGGCAATGGGTGATTGTGGAGGGGCACAGGCTGGGCTCAGAAATGCTCCACTGGCCAGGATTCTGGATGGAAATGCCTGTTTTGAGTGGGGTGGCGCCTCATGGATGATTGCTGGGTTGGGCAAGAGGAGGGACTTGGACACCCTGTTTTTCTGTTTCATCACCAAATCCTGGACTATCTTTTAGCCAACCCTGACAGTAACGCCTTTATTAACCTCCTGGTTTCTCAGTGCTGCAAAGTGCCTTCCTTTGCCATCTCTTGTTGGTAGATTTTTCCTTGAGAAGCTTCGCTCACCTCTGTCCAGCACGTCCAAGGCACTCGGATCCTCTCTCTGACCCCCTTCCATCCTTTTTTCCCCTTGAATGCCTCTTTCTTCTCCTCTATCTTCTCCAGGAAGCCTTCCTTGAGTGACCCTCAGTGATGTCACTCAGGGCCATCACACCATCCACACCACTGAAGTGAGACCTCTGGCCACTTCCTTGTCTCAGACACGTGGCCAGCTCTCCCGCAGCCTGGGAGCTCTGAGGGCAGGGTCTGGGTCTCCTTCTTCCTTGGGCTCGGCATGTGCTGGGTGCCGCATGTGCTGGGTGCTTATTCTCCAGGTGTGTCAGAATAGGTCAGCTGGAGCGAGTGACAAACACAGTCAGGCCAAGAGCATCTTGCTCTCCAAGGCCCAGCCCAGGCAAGGGAGGGGATAAAAGTCTTGTGCCGGGGCCTCAGGGCAGGAACTCGCACACCTCTGTCTGTCTGCAGCTTGTGCCTTTGGGTTCCTGCCATGTCTCTTTCTCCCTGCCGGGCCCAGAGGGGCTTCAGTGCTCGCTCAGCCTGTTCTGCTCGCTCCAGGGGCAGAAGCAGGGGTAGCTTCAGCAGCAGGAGCCTCATCTCCTTCGGGAGATGCCGAGGAAGCTCTCGTGGGGTGGCCTGGGGGTCAGGAGGAAGTCTGGGCGTGTGGTTTGGGCAGGGGAGCGGTGGGCCTGGGCTTTCCCTGTGCCCTCCGGGGGGCATCCAGGAAGTGACCATCAACCAGGCTCTTCTGACCCCATTGAAGATTGAGATTGACCCCAAGTTCCAGGTGGTGAGGACTCAGGAGACCCAAGAGATCAGAACTCTTAACAACCAGTTTGCTTCCTTCATTGACAAGGTGAGGGTCAACTCAGCTAAACCCCTACCTCAGTGCATCCCTCGGAGGAACTGCTCTTGATGGACTTGGGAGTGGGGAAGTCTGGTCTATCACTTCTAATTTGCTTCTGCAGCAAAGAGGTCCTTCTTTGACCTAACTGGAGTCTCTCTTGTTATGCCGAGGCTCTGTGGTTCCATGGTTGGGGCTCAGGAGCAAAAAACTGTCAGCCAGCAGTGGGGAGGCATTGTTATTCTTTCTGATGATTTTGATGTGCTCAGAGTCTTGCGGAAGGCATGGGCCTGTGCCCAGGCTGGGTTGGGAGGCAGGGGAAAGGTGGACTTCCTACAGGGTCCCTGAGGCTTTACTTCCGAGAGGCTGTGCCCAGGGAGTTCCACAGGGGCCTCAGAGACCCTCTGCTCATGCTGCAGGTGCGGTTCCTAGAGCAGCAGAACAAGGTCCTGGAGACCAAGTGGCACCTGCTGCAGCAGCTGGGGGTGAGTGACAGCCCTCGGGGCCTGGAGTCTTGCTTTGAGGACTTCCTGGCCCAGCTCAGAAGGCAGCTGGAGGAGCTCCAGAGACAACGAGGGGCTCTGGAGGCTGAGCTGAAGTTCTGCCATGACCAGGAGGAGGAGTATAAGGCCAAGTAAGTAGACTGAAGCTCCCCATGGGGCCTGGGCGGGGTCCAGGAGGGCTGGACCGGGGCTGTCAGCTGAGATTCTCCCCTCCCCGTCAGACTGGGCTTCCTTTTAGCCCCTCTCCATCTCATTCTCTCTGACTCTCAGAATGCCCCACCTGCTGCAGATAAGGAGGCCCCACTGCCCCTGATGCCCAGATCTGGGGAGCCAACAGGCCCCAGCTCCCAGGTCTATGTTTCTGGTCAGTGGTGGGAGGGGCTCATTTAAACAATGTTTCAGTGGGTTTTTTTCTTGAGAAATTCCTGTTGAGCAGGCTGTGGACTAAAGTGACTCAGATGTTCTTTGGTCTCAGGGGTGGAAGGGAATTTATCTCTTGGGACCATCCCCAGGCCTGTGGCATGATTCACAGCTAGGCTGTGGTTCTCGGTACCCGACCTAAGTCACCTGGTGGTGTGGAGAGAGCCTTGGACTAACAGGAGGCTTGGGTTCAGTGACTGTGAGCAAAGCGTAGCTGTGTGGCCTTGAGCAAGGCATTTCCCAGCCTCAGTTTCTATATCTGAAAACTAGGAAGATGTCACCTGCTCTTCTTACCTCCAAGGGGTGTCGGGAGGGTGGGGTATGAGATGGAGTGGGCCCCAGGAGGCGCCGGGGATGGGGGCCAGGAGACATAGGCTTTAGGTCTGCTTGGCCACCTAATCACCTATGACTTGGGCAAGTTGTATAATCTTTCTGACAAAATCAAAACTGCGTACTTTACCTGATGATTGTGAGTCCTGACTTAGAAAAGGTGTTTGAATGTGACTTGCGAATGTGCAGTAAAATTGCCTTATGTCCATTAAGGGGACATGATCTGAAGGAGTAGAGAGGTACATAGCTAGGATGTGACAAAAGTTTCCTGACAGGAAATGTAGAGACACAGGCTGGTTGTGTGCCTGGCCTTGGAGCATCTAAAGCACGTGTGGCCTTTTCAGGAAGGCTGTGCTTGGAGGAGGGACATTGGCTCTGATCCCCGCACCTTAGACAGCGTCTCTCTGTTTTTACTTGGCAGGTATGAACAGGAGGCCCACAAGCGGGCCACCGTCGAGAATGACTTTGTGGTTCTCAAAAAGGTGAGGGTGGAGGTCAGCTGCTGCACTTGGACCCTGGGCAGCCCCAGTGCACAGAGCCTGGCTCTGGGTTGTGAGGGCAGGGGGTGCAAAGACCCTCATGAGGGATCTGCAGGGGTCCCCCAGGGAAATGGGACATCTACCTCGACACAGGGACCCCAGGACAAGATCCAGTTGAGGGACCATGTGATAAGTTTTGGGTGTCATTGCAGAAGAGGGTGGGGAGGGAGTAGAAGAAGCAGAACAGGTTGGGATTAATCAGGGAAGACTTCCTGAAGGCAGTGTGGGTCAATGTTAGGCAAAAGTGAGAGCAGAGCAGGGTGGGTCTGGAGGAGAAGGAAGCGGGTCTCTGGAGATGACTGTGGGTGGGTGTTGGGCAGTGTGTGAACAGAATTCCTGAGCCAGAGTGGGGCCCACAAGAGGAAGTGGGAGATACATGGTTTCTGTCTCCCTGCCCCCAGGATGTGGATGAGGTGTTCCTGAGCAAGATGGAGTTGGACGGCAAGCTGGAGTCTCTGAGACAGTACATCTGCTTCTTGAGACATCTGTATGAAGAAGTGAGGACTTGCCAAGGGCAGAAGTGGTGGTCTCCAAGGGCAGGTGGTAGTGAGGGGAAGGGACAGGGTGGGCAGGCTCCCTGTGGCTACTGTGGGAGTGGCCAGGAGGCGAGGCCTGGTTAGGGTGACTTAGAGTCTGGTCATTCGGTCATTTGACAAACAATTACTGAGAATTTACTATGTGGATTGTTAGGTTCTGGGGACATACCAGTGAATAACCTGATGAAAGTCACAAAGCTTTCTACTGGGTGATGAACAGCAAATAACAAACTTAGGATATAAGTGAATTATATAGTAGGTTAGGGGGTGATAAATGCTATGAAAAAAAGAGAATTAAAACGGGGGAAGGAGGGTTAGGAATATGGGCTACTAGTAGGGCAGATGGCAATTTCAAGTAGGGTGGTCAACATAGCCTTATTTAGAAGATAAAATTTGAGCAAAGGTTTGAAAGAAGTGAGGGAATTAGCCACGCAGGTGGGAATCAGGGATTCCAGGCCATGGGAGTGGTCCACTGCCCTGTGCACTGGTTTCTGAGGAAATGCAAGGAGGCCAGGGGGCTGGAGCAGCAGGAGCCAGAGGGAGGGCAGGGTGATAAGAGGTCAGAGCAGTGACAGGACTGGGTAATTCCAGGCTTTGCAGGATGTTTTCCTTTACATTCCAAGCTGCAAAAGTCATTGGAGACCACCTCCTACGGAGGCAGCTCCACAGAAGGCAGGGAGCATTCAGTGCCCCCCAGCGTGAATGGGGGCTGCACCCTGATAGAGTGCGGACAGAGAGCCAGGCCTCCCGCCCCCCTGCCCTGGGGCTCCAAGGGGAAAAGGAGCTGCAGGGCGGTGGACACTGAGCCAGTCTTCCCTGTAGGAGCTGGGTCAGCTCCAGACCCAGGCCGGCGACATGTCCGTGGTGCTGTCCATGGATAACAACCGCTGTCTGGACTTCAGTGACATCATTGCCGAGGTCCGTGCCCGGTATGAGGAGATCACCCAGACCAGCAAAGCCGAGGCCGAGATGCTGTACCAGACCAAGGTGCCAGGGCCACGGGGCAGCGCCAGACTGGAAAGATTGGGTCTTTGTGCTCACACCCAAGGGTAGTTGTCCACCTTGGTCCCATTTGGTAGTTCTGATAACCTTCCTAAAGCTCCAGGGCTGGGTGGGCACAGCTATTCCCCTTCTCCAGGAGGGAGGCCATGCAGGAAAACCGTGGGCCATGAGCTTGGACACCTGCAAGCACATTCCACTGTGTCCTGGTCTCAGTGTTTAACCCACATTCCAAATGAGGATGCGAGGAGGCAAAGAATGGGGGACATGGATCTTGGCGTCAACTGTGAGGGTCTGCTTAGCTAATGGTGTCACCTCTGTCCCCCGTCAGTACCAGGAACTTCAGGCGACTGCCCAGCTGCATGGGGACAGCATTCAGGAAACCAAAGTCCAGATCTCTCAACTGCAGCAGAGCATTCAGAGACTGCGAAGTCAGGTTGAGAACCTCAAGGAGCAGGTGAGGGTCCCAGAGCTCCCCGAGCCCTGCCTCTTACTGCCTTTGCGCCGGGGCTGTCCCTGAGTTTGTGTGAACCTTGACAACTGGCTGGACTTTGGATAATTTGGGGTAGAGAGAACCTCAAGCCCCATCTGAGAGGACTTCAGCCTTCCTCCTGTGAATTCTCGCTGCATGGGCTCTGCTCGTGCTGCGCTCCATGTCCAGCTGCACACGTTGCTTTTGGCTACTTGGGGGGGGAGGTTAATTTGTCTCTTTTCTTACCTCTTCTTTTGACTTGGACTCCTCAAGCCCAGCAGGCACTCTAAGGCCAGGCACTGAATTTCCTGGTCGCCTGCTGGGGAGGGCGAGAGCCAGGACCTCAGGGAGCAGGTGACTCGGACAGTGGAGTCGGGGGCTGAGCCCTCCTTAGGAGGTGGTGCTGTTGGTGCCTGGCCTGGGAAGGAGCAGGAGAGACGGAGGGAGTGGATGGCAGGGGCAGGGAGGTGGTTTCCTGTTCCTCCTGGAGTCGTCATGTCTAGGTGTGAAGGATTTCAGATTCCTAAATTTTAAAGTGTCCTTGTGTTCACTTTCTCCAAGTCTGAAGAATCGGTTTTAGAATACACAGAGAGCGTGGAGAGCTGACATCCCAGAGTCAGGCATTTTCCTCAAGTCCTCCTGCTTGACCTCCACATCCCACACGACCCCTCCACTGCCAGCAGGGCCCTTCTGGGAACGTTCTTAGAGCGCAGACCGTTCAGAGCCCAGATGCAGACTCCTGCTGTCCTTACTTGTTCTTCTGTGGAGTGTGAAGCAGTATCCATTATTAATTTGCTGCTAGTGTTTTGCCCATAAGTTTGGACTCCTTGCTTTGGAATTCTCTGGGTTTTCTATTAAGATAGATTCCCAGGCCTCCTGCCAGACTGAGGGAATCAGGGTCTGTAAGCGTGGAGCCCAGAAACCCGCTTTCTAAACTAAGTTCACCCAGGTGACTTGAACGCCTGGAGTCTCAAAGCCCAGCTGCCAGGACTGAGGAGTGGTACTATGTCCCCGGGTCTGGGAACCACAGCTTCGCCCATAAAGGCCTCCTGTGAGAACCCCTCTTGGGGATACAACCCCCCATTAATCCTCCTCTTCATGTACAAGCCTGATGAACTGGGCTCCCCTGCACCTGGCCCCGGGCTGAGCCCTGTGGATTACAGTTAGAGTGGCAGACTGGGCCTCAGCTGTCGTGGGTTAGTTAGGATCCCCGTTCTGCCTTTCTGAGACTCAGTTTCCTCATCTGTAGAATGGAGATGATGTTTCCCATCCACGGGGTGCTTGTATGGGAATAGGATAAGGAGAACTTTTAGGGAATGCTTTCTTTTCCAAACCAAACATGAGGGTCCAGCACCTAGATGGCCAGTTAGACAGGGATCTCATCCTTCATCTATGAGTTTTCTGTAGGGTCGGAGAGGTAAGGGCGGAGAGTAGATTTTTCAAACCAAAGATGGAGGCACATGCTGAAAACAGGACAAAATATTTGAAATGGGGCTGTTCCAAAAAAAAAAAAAAAAAAAAAAAAAAAATTGAGGGCCGTGGTGGCCCTTACGGTGAGACTCATAGACAATGAACTGAACAGGACAGGCAGAGCTTTAAGTAACCTAGGAGAGATTCCAGGGTGGTGCTGAGGGTTGGGGTGGGAAGAAATAGGAGAGATCACTTGAAGACGTGGCAAAGGGGTGGGTTAGTTTCTTGTGGTTGCTGTGGCAAGGTGCCATGAGCTTGGTGGCTTGAAACAACAGAAATTTACTCTCTCAGACTGGAGGTTAGATGTCTGAAATCAGGTGTCAGTGGGGCCATACTTCCTCTGAAGGAGCGAGCAAGGAATTCTTCCTCTTCCTGTCTTCTGGTGGCTTCAGCAGTTCCTTGGTGTTCCTTGTTTTGTTGCTGCGTCACTCCAGTCTGACTGCATGTGGCGTCTTCTCTCTGCCTCTGTGTCCTCTCGTTTCTTTCTAGGGACACCAGTCATTACATTTAGGGTTCACCTTAAATACAATATGATATCATCTTGAGATCCTTAATTAATTACAACTGCCTAACCCTCCCATTTCCAAATAAGAGAACATTCTGAAGTTCTAGGTGGACATGACATTTTTGGGGATATTATTCAACTCCTTATGGGAGTTACAGAAGCAGAAGAGGCAATACTCTCTCTGAGACTGAGAGACGCTGGGAGTGGTCAAGAGTAATTTGGAGCTCATGTGATTATGGTGCACCCCAGCCTTCAGGTTTTATCCACAGTAGGTGCTTTGGGGGGCTATGTTGTGCTCGCAGCTACTTTCGCCCTCATTTCTGCACCTCTTCCTAGAATGCCAGCCTGGAGGCCAAAGTGGCAGGTGCTGAGCAGCGTGGGGAGCTGGCTCTCCAGGATGCTCAGACCAAGCTGGCCGAGCTGGAAGCTGCTCTGAGAACCGCCAAGCAGAACATGGCCCGGCTGCTGCGCGAGTACCAGGAGCTGATGAGCACAAAGCTGGCCCTGGACGTGGAGATCGCCACCTACCGCAGGCTGTTGGAGGGCGAGGAGTGCAGGTGAGCCAGTCAGAGGATCTGGGAATATGTGCCTGGGGGGTGGGGTGGTGGAGGATGGAATGCCAATAAGGAGCTTTCCTTGTTAAGGGGAATTCTAAGAGATTTCCTGACATTCTAAGTCCCTGAGGGGCAACCCATTCTGCTGGGAGGGGTTTTAAATTGCAGGCTGTTGATTTTATCTGCTGGGAGGGTAGGTAAGCTGCTCCAAGAGGCACCAGGGTGCACTCTTGCAGTCTTTCTCAGCAGTCCCTCCTCGTGTCCTTTCTCCCCTAGGATGTCTGGGGCATGCACCAGCCAGGTTACTATCTGTGAGTATCAGGGGATGTTCGGAGAGAGGTCCCCATGGGGAGCTGAGGACCCTGCTGTGACCCTGGTGCATTTCTTGGCAGCCATGGGGGGAGGCAGCACCATCCTGCCTGGAAGACCTTGTGAAAACACTTGTGGACTTGGCGGCGGAAAAGGCACTTTTGGGTCCAGCTGCTCCAGCGTCGTGACCGGAGGCTCCAATGTCATCCTGGGCTCAGGGCAGGGCCCTGTTATGGGTTCCTGCTCTGTGTCCGGCTCCGGCTCGGGCTCCAGCTGCCACACCATCTTGAAGAAAACAGTCGAGTCAAGTCTCAAGACATCTGTCATATACTGAGTCCCTGGCAGCAACTCGCTCCCCTGCCTTCCTGAACTTTCTCAGTTCCGTTCCCACCCCATCATCCCCATCCCTGCATGTCCATTTCTGTGTCCACTGCCCACAGGGGATGCTGTAAAAATCAATAAAGTCATGCCTACCTGCTCTTCTGAGTGCTTGCCCAGTCTGGCCGTGCCCGTCGTAGTGATTTGTCTAATTTGGGAGGCTGCTGCTTGCCCCAAGCCAAGGTGTCACAGTGCCCCGTCCTCCAGCTAGCCAGCCTCTTCTTCTTCTCCCTCCACAGCCTATGAGCTGAGCTGGGAAAACTCTGGGTTGGACTCCATCAGACTGCTTCCCATGCCAAGTGTTTTCCTTTGGGAGTAGGGGAGAGGTCTGAGTCCCACTGACCAGAGCCTGGAGGCAAGCACCAAGGGACCTTGTCCTTGCCCTATTTGCCTGCCTCTGGGCCTCCATTTCTCTAGCTTTCCTGTGAAATGAAGTAGCCCTCAGTTCTCCCTGGGGATGAGTCTTCCTTCCTCTCTTTCTCTCCCTATTCCCTCCCTCCCGCAAATTATATTGAGTGCAGACAGCACTAGAGGCACTGTTACAGGACGGGGCTACTCTGGCAAGCAAGACGAAACCCTTCCTGTCCTGCTAATGGGTTTAATGCTTCTGGTTTCTCCAGCATAACCCCTCCCACTCATGAGGACGAGATCTTCCTCCTCAGAGCTCTTGGCCTCCGGGGCCGGAGGCCAGCCTCCTATGGCTAATTTAGACACTATGAGTTGAGAGGTGAGGACCCTTTGTGTCCTGGCCTTTCTTCTAGTCCCCTCTTCCTGGTGCCCCAGCTGCAGCTCTAGCCAGGGTGGCAAGGCTGGGTCTAGTCACCTCACCCCCACCTTTCATCTCTGAGCTTTAATCTGGCTCTTCTCTTAGACAGGGGTGCTCCAGGCAGGTTAATAATTCAGCACTAATGCTGAGCAATAGCCTCAAATATGTGTTCCAAAGGCATTTTGAAGAGATGCTGCAGGGCCGGGGACAAATGTTCCCTGTGACAACATGCAGCATCTCTGCCACTCCTTCCAGCAACTCAGTTTGGCCCCCAGGCTTGCACACCTCACCCAGCAAAACAGAAGATGTGCTACTGCCCAGCCCACTCTCCACAGAAGGCCATCTGTCGAACAGTTAGGGTTGTTTGGGCTATATCTCACGGGCGTTTCACATCTCACCATGATCAGTTTATCAAGAGCTTTCTCCCAGCCCCCGAGAATACTCCCCGGGGTGCCTTGCATCTCCTCCATTTCCACTGATATTTTAGTATTCCTTGTAGCTTGTTCCCTGGTTGATCACCCAGAACAGGCTCTAGTTCTGACTCAGGACAGCTCCCACCATCCTTGCTCCTCCTTCTTCCTAAGTCTGCACCAGATTTTGCACACCCTGGAAACCTTCCCAATTCCCCATGTCTGTCCCCAGCACAGCCTGGCTGCACCCATTGCTGTCCTGGGCTCTGTTTCTGTCTGTTCTAGTCTAAGACCCAGTTTCTCTTAATCTGGGACCCCTGGGCAGGTTCATCTCCTGCTCCCAGGATAAGGATCAGCAGCTCAGCCTGTGCTGGTGGCTCTGATGGGGACTTGGGACTGGAACTATGTCCCATCCCCCTTACCCCTTCGCTCAATTCCACCCATGGCCCTACCTGAACATGAGACTGGATGTTTCTCCTCCTTCCCTCTTTTGCAGGAAGCCAGGAGAGTGGGCATCAGGGCCAGGTGCTAGCCCTGCAGTGGCATTGCTCTCACATTGCTTCTCCCATCTTCCCCCTCTCCGTCCGGGTTACCTCCAGACTCCATGGCCCAGGCCGTGGGAGGTCACATCAGTCCCCTGATTTAGAGGGAGGCCAGCTTTTTTCTCAGATCCATGGGTCTCTTCATCACAAGTATCCAAGAAGGAGGTCTGTCAGCCCTCTCTGAGAGAGACATGATTAGGTGAGCACGAGGCCCCGGAGCTAGAATTCCTGGGCTTGAATCTTAGCCCTGACATTTACTGGTGGTGTGACTTTGACCAAGTTACTTAACCTCTCTCTGTGCTTCAGTTTCCCCACATGTGAAAATACATTAATAATAATATTAACAGGGCCATGGTATCATTATACCATGGTATCATTATACCAGGGCCAATAATATTAACAGGGTGGGGATGGTATCATTCAGGATCCCAGAAAGAAACAAATTCACACAAGGTAGTTCAGTAAAATGGACTTTAACGAAAGGATTATTTATAGAGGTGTGGGCGTGGCTAAAGGAACAAACACAGGATGCAGAGGCCAGAGCCTGGCAGCACTGGGAAACCATTGCCACCCGGAGCTGGGGAAGCTGCCATCTCGTTTGTCCAGGCCGAGGGTTTTCTGAGATGTGGGACTTTCAGTGCCAAACTGGGACTCCTGGGAAAATCAGGACTGGGAGGACACCCTGTGTAGAGCTGGAGACACCGGAGGAAGAAGTGGAGTGACCAGGGGATAGAGGGGGGCAACCGGGGAGGGGATGGTCTGGAAGGAGGAGGCAGCCAGCGCTGAAGCAGGGAGGGAGTGGGAAGGAATACCGGCCTCTCCCTGCCAGATCTCCTGCCGGGGTCTCCCTTTGCCAACCCAGCTGGAAGCCAAAGAACAAGGGAGCAGTGTGCCAGGGACAAGAAGGTTGGTGAATGATCTGGGGTGGGAAGGAGGCAAAGGGAGCATGCCCAGGGTGGAGGCTAAAGGTGTTATTACAGAGAAAATGTGTAGGCCCCAGTCTACCCTGTAGTAAGGGCTCAATAAGCCCTGGCTCTGATAATCATGACTATTAGGTTAGAAAGCCCTACCCTGTACAGGGGCTTCTCAAGGGCAGTGACTGTGTTCTCTTCACCCCTATCTTTTTTCTATTGCTCAGCACCCAGCCTTGTCCATGTTGGGTGTTCAGTTGTCTCACTTTATCTGTCATTCCATCGCCTCGCCTCTCATCCTGCTGCAGGAAGGGACCGTGGGCAGGTGATAGTTTACAGAGATGGAGGCTCTTAGACTGAGAAACAGCAGGGGACAGGAAACTGTTCCTTTTAGGGCTGCAGAAGGAAGGCCTGAGTTTGAGAGTCCTGTAAGAAAGTCGAGTGGAGGGTCAGGATAGGAGGAGCACAGTGGCTCCCACGTCTGTCTGGGCTGGGACTGGTGCGATGTCCTGCCTGGGTAGGAGGGAGGCTGTCTCTAGGAAGTAATTGTGGGAGCGGGCCCAGGTTGCCTGTGTGTCTGTCGTCAGCTCCCAGCCACAAAGGCTGGCACAGAGAGCCAGGTAAATATGTGTGGCTGTCAGTCTCCGGGAGGGGTGGAATGTGTTTGCAGCCCACTCTACTCCTACCACCTTGGCTGTTCCTGACTCAGACAGCTGACATCACTCCTTTCCCCAGGGAGGGGACCCCACTCACAACTGTCTTTCCCTCCCACACCCCCATTTGGGGAGAGATAAGGGAGGCTGAGAAAGTGGTAACAGCTTGGGGGCAGGAGACCAAGGTTACGGAAGTGGCTCAGTCCTGCAATCACAGGCAGGCAGGTGCTTTGGGAAAGGATTTCTCTGGCAGGCCCTGCCTGCAGGTGGAGGCAAGGAGGACCAGAGAGGTTGAGAGTCGCCAGAAAACACACAGCTCAGTGGGGATTCATCCCCCAAACCCCCCAGATGCCTGGTATCTAGCTCCAAGCAGGCAGGAAAATCTCCTCTTGGACATTAGGGGACAAGTTCTGCAAGCGTCCCTCACCCTATGCCTCATGGGAATATGTTCAACATCTTCAAACTGGGAGCTACTTACAGCCTCCCAGAGGCCTTAGGAAGGAATCCCACAGCCTCCTCTAGGCCTGAAGGGGGACTGTTCTCTGCCTGCTTTCCTTGGGCTGTGCGTAGCCCCATGTCCTCTGCTTTGGGATCATGAGAACACTAGCAGGTGACAGTCCCAGCTCTAGCCTTGGTGGCTGTGTGAGGAGCACAGCCGGTGTTATCTCCATGCCGTCCTTCAGGCAAGTCTCTCTCCTCTCTGGGCCCATTTTTTCTCCCCTGGAGCTGACGTGGGTGAGGAGGGACAATCTCTTAAGTTACCTCCTCAGCACTCCCTTGGTTCTAACATTTAACTAACATTTCCAAATCTTCCCTTGTTTAGTCCCAGTAGTCTGAGGTGGTTGGGGTGAGAGGGGAACTGTGTGAAGTGATTTGAAGACCCTCGTCCAGCTCTTTCTGAATCAAGCAGAGGTCCCCTTATGGGAGGATGGGAATGTTGGGGTGCTCCATGGGCCTTGTGGGGCTTTCGTTGAACACATGCTTCTTGGATTTGTACCTACATCCAGCCAGGATGGGAGGTGTCCTCCACCCACCTCCGACCCCCTCCAAAGTGGCTGGGCCCTCCTGGGGAGGCTCCGCTCTGATGCAGAGGGTCGGGTGGGGGTGTCTCCGGTGATGGTCGAAGCCCCCTGTTTCTCTTTAGCTCCCAGAAGAGTGTGCTTTGCCTCCCCTCTCCGTGTCACCGCCTGGCCCCTGGGCACTGCCTGAGGAGCCCAGGCCTTTCTGTTTCCTCATCCAGGGCTCAGGCACCTTCTTTCTGTCCTTGCACCCACTTTGCCCAGCAGAGAATCTCCACCCAGTGGACAACCTGCCAGCGTAGGACAAAAAGATTGCCCCCACCTTCACTCTGTCACCTGTGTCCCCCACCCAGACCTGCTAGGGGGCAATGAGGTTGTGGGCTGGTAGCTGGGACCACAGCAGGCCTGGGCACTCTCTCTACACACATTGCCCAATGCTCCCTCCCTCACCACCTGCACAGCTCAGGCCCTGGGGCCTTGGCTTACAACAGGGGCCTGGGATGAACCTCGCAGAACAGAGCCCCCATTGATGGCGGCCACCAGGGCTGGGTGGGAGGAGACCAGTGGTGGTGGTGGAGGTGGCTGTGGGAGCTCCTATCATCCTGTTCCAAGGCAGGAAAGCCCCAGGGGGGAGAAGGTGGCACCCTGCCCTAGACAGGCTCAGCCCCATGTCCGGAGCACAGGTGATAACTGGGAACAGCCTCTCCCTCCTGCTGGGAGAGAGGTACCTCTCCACGCCCCCTGGCCCACGGGGCCCCTCCCTTCTTCTCCTCCCTCCCTCTCCTCCGGGCGATGGGGCAGGAGTGTCTGTGGAGGTGGGGAGCCAGCCCAGCTGGGAAAAGATAAAAAGCGCATTAGAGGCCCAGAAGCATACTGTGCTCCCTTTCAGCTCTTGGCCTGTGTGCTAGTCCCTCTGACAGCCATGAGGTCCTCTGTGTCTCGGCGGATGTACTCCACCAAAGGGGGCTTCAGCTCCAACTCCGCCACCGGAGGGGGTGGGTCCAGGGCCCACACCAGCTTCAGCTCTGTGATGATGTCCCGGAGCAGTGGCAGTGGTGGTGGGGCACGCTCTGGTCCTAGCATGGGCGGCTTTGGCAGCCGGAGCCTCTATAACTTGGGGGGCAGCAAGAGCATCTCTGTCAGCGTGGCTGGAGGGGCCTCCTCCGGGCGGACCCTAGGAGGCTTCGGCCATGGCGGCGGGGCCTACATGGGCCTGGGCGCTGGAAGGCAGACATTCGGGCCTGTCTGTCCCCCTGGAGGCATCCAGGAGGTCACTGTCAACCAGAGTCTGCTGACCCCTCTCAACGTGGAGATCGACCCAGAGATCCAGCGGGTGCGCACCCAGGAGCGGGAGCAGATCAAGACCCTCAACAACAAGTTTGCTTCATTCATTGACAAGGTGGGCCAAGAGGGAAGAAGGCAGGGAGGGCCCCTGGAGTAGAAGCAGGGCCTATAAGAGGGGGTGGACTGGGTAGAGGCTGCTGCAGCCCATGCACCCTTGGGTGAGGGTTGATGGGATGACTTTGGAGCTCTTCTGGCCTGAGCCTGTGATGCCCGGATGTGCATGGCTGGAGACAATCTTCAAGTCTTTACTGTAACTGCTCAGGCAAATCCAGGGTCTATTCATGGGGCCTGCTGGCCAAGCCCACCCTGACCACGCTGCAGCCTTTCCTGTGGTCGCCACTAATGCCATGACACAGCAGCCTTAGCTCACAATCACTTAACAGATTGCTCCTCTTAGCAGGGTGACCCTTATTGCCTTTTGTCACTTGACAGCTGGGAAATGGGCTCAAGTGCTACATTACTCAAGGTAGCTCTGCCTGATCCCTATTCTCTCAGTCTTGGTGGAGGCCTAAGGACAAAGCTGTGATCAGACACAATGGGGAAGGGGTTGTCCTGGAGGAAGTCTCCTTTTTGCTTCTCATTTCTTCTTGCTGTTCCAGCCAAGAGGCTTCGTTTGGGGTGGACAAAGAGGAGGATGGTCACCATGACCTGGGGTCTGTAGTTTGATCTTGTTCCAGGAGTGTCTTGACTCCCTCCCTGGCATGCAGGCGCACTGGGGAGGCTCTTGCACTGTTCCCTGGCAGCTCCAGGTCCTTGTACTGTTCTCTGTTGTTGGCCTTGTCTATCTCCACCTTGAGCCTCCAGGACCAAGATGGGGAAAACCCTGGTGGATGACTGTACCTTGGTTCAGTGATTTGTGGGTTCCCAAAGGACATTCATGTCCCCCTTCTCATGTGTTACTCACAGCATCCCATGAGGAGTGACAATAGGTAACACTGTGCCCATTTTTAAGAAGAGAAAATTGAGGTTCAGAGAAGTCACGTGGTTTGCCCAGGATCATACAGGTACTTGGAGGCAGAGGTGGGCCTGGACCCAGGGTCATGGACCTCATGGTTGTTGGCATTAAGAGGGTTCATTACTGTTCATGGCAGGTGCAGCTGCTGTGTGGTGTCCCTGGGCCACATGACTGTGGGCCTGGGGTGCTGTGGGGGTGGAACCTGGAGAGACTGGCTAGCAAAGGGTGAAGCAAGCTGTCCCACCCACCTTCCTCACCTTCTCCTCTAGTGACTTTTGTTCTTCTGCGGGACTGTCCCAGAGGTTAAACAAGCAAAATCCTCTCTCAGGTTCTCAGAATCATGATCTGGGAACTGGGGGTCTGAAAGCTTGTCTGTGTCTGGGGAATCCCAAGTAGGCGGAGAACCCCCAAGGGGCCTGTTAAACCCTTGCCATGGGCCCCCTTGTGAGTCTGTAGAGATAGGGCTGGGCATTAGTCTCTAAAAAAAAACAACTTAAGAAAGTCAGATTTACAGAAAAGTTGCAAGAATAGTACAGTACACTTCCACAAACTCTCACCTAGATTCACCAATTTAAAATATTATGTCACATTTGTCTTCTCTCTTTTTGTGTGTCTACCATATTTTGCTGTGTATAATGCACACCCACATTTTTGGCCCAAACTTTCAGGAAAAAAAATCTTTTTAATTTTTTAATTCAATTTTTTATTAATTTATATTTAGATACTTGTTTTTTTAAATTATAAAGGAATTTTAGCATTTATTTTTGAACATACTAAGGTACAAGAAATTTTATGTAACAAATAACTATAAAACACAAGAACAGATACAGGGTATTTCAGGTACTACCCGTGAATAATGCATACCCTTATTCTTCCCTAAAAAATTTGGACAAAAAAGTGCACATAATACATGGCACATAATCACGAATATAAATGTATGTAGTTGTATATATATTATACACACACACACACACACATATACATTTGCATTTTTAACAGTTGATTTTGACGTAGAATTAGGGTTCGGAAACACTGATCCAGTCCAGTTCACTCAGGACAAATGAGAAAAGGAAAACCAGAGAGAGGTGACATGATTTTCACTAACTAGTAAATGACTAAACTGAGGCTTTTATGTTTATTAACACTTTAGAGTCCTTGTCAACAGAGTAGACTGTCTTTTCCCCCAAAGATTGTTCCCACCCGAACTCCTCCCTTCAGCAAGGCGTAGGCCCACACTGCCCCTGTGATGTCCTGGTTGGGGACAGATGGGGTCCCATTCTCGGTCCCTCCTGGGGAAGGGGATAGTGCCAGCCCACCACCCTTCTTGCTCTGGCTCAGGTGCGGTTCCTGGAGCAGCAGAATAAGGTGTTGGAGACCAAGTGGGCGCTGCTGCAGGAGCAGGGCCAGAACTCAGGCACCACCAGCAACAACCTGGAGCCCCTGTTTGAGACCTACATGAGCAGCCTGCGCAGGCAGCTGGACAACCTCCAGGGCGAACGCGGGAGGCTGGACTCAGAGCTGAGGAACATGCAAGATCTTGTCGAGGACTTCAAGAACAAGTGAGGAGGGCTGGGGAGGCTGGGGCTGTATGGGAATGCAGAGAGGACATTGTGGAAATCTCCCCAGAGAGGGCCATCTCATTTGCAGGGTCCTGGGACCCACCTGGGGGATGCACAGGCAGAGCTGCTTCCCTCCTGTGCTCAGGCACTGGACCCATCACACTTGTCAATAATTTTGAAAACTCTTTATTATAAGGTGGGGAGAATAGTATCGGGAACTCACACATTCCCATTACCCAGCTTTAATAATGATCAGCATAGCCAGTGTTGTTTCATCTGTATTCCTGCTCACTTTCTCTCCTTCCTTATTGTCTTGAAGCAAACCCCAGCCGTCATGTAATTTAAGTCACAGGAATTTTACTGGATATGTTCATATAATTCATCTATATAATTTGACTTAGCAAACATAGACATAATGTCATAATCACACCTTTTTAAAATAATAATTCCTCAGTATCATCAAATAGCCAGTCACTTTTGAGTTTCCAATTGTCCCATTGATGTAATAAATAAATAAAAAAATACAGTTTGTTGACTCAAGATCCAAATAAGTTTCATATATTATGATTGGTTGATAAGTGTATTTATAATTTTAAGGCATAATTGTTCATAACTTTTCCAACATTTTGACGTGAACAATTTCTAAACCTTAAAGTCTCAGCAGAAGAAGTTGGTGAGAAAGTTAGTTGTTTGAAATGCCATCCTGTTGCTGAAAGTGGAGACAAAGGTTAACTGCTGTTGACACATCTCCACATGTTCCTATAAAGCCTAAGGGCTCTGATCCAAAGAGATGGCTCCTCCCGACTGCCATAGTATTGCACAACTCTGTGTCCATTTCCTCAAAAAAGGCAGGGAAGAATATGTAAAGACTGCACCCCAAGTTTCTTCACTGGTTGGATGCATTACAGCACTGCTTCCCCAAGGTGTTCTTGGTCAATAGAGGACCCATCAGAGCTTCCTTAAAGCCAGGAAGGTCCAGTGCCTTAAAAGGCAGAAATTGACTGAGCCTGGCCTGAATCATCTCTGTGTGACAGGTACGAGGATGAAATCAACAAGCGCACTGCCGCCGAGAACGAGTTTGTGGTGCTCAAGAAGGTGAGCGGGGTGACAAGGAGTGAGGGCAGGTGGTCCTTTGGCTGCCAGAGTGCTGGGCTGGCTCTGAGAGAGGCAAGAGCCCTGGGGGCTGAGCATCTGTCCTGCTCTCTCCCTTGCCTCAGGATGTGGATGCTGCATACATGGGCCGAACGGATCTGCATGGCAAAGTGGGCACCTTGACAGAGGAGCTGGACTTCCTGAATCATCTCTATGAAATGGTGAGATGGCCAGTGGACAGGGACCATGACATACAGCATTGGGGATTCCCACAGAGGTCTGATTTGAATTCATCAGTGCAATTATTTGAGAGAAGACAAACCTGGACCTTTAATTAATACTAGCTCCCATTTATTAAGTGCTTAAGTGGGCCAGGCACTGGGCTAAGCTCTCAAGAACTCCATAACATAAGCACTATTTATTGTCTCCATTGTATAGTCAAGGGCACTGAGGCTCAGTGCAATTTGCTCATGGTCGCATAGCTAGTTAATGGCAATGTTGGAGTTAAAAATCTCATTCTTGAACTTCAAACTCTGACTCTTACCACTGTGTTATACTGTGTTCCCCTTTTTGCTCAGTTTGTAAGGGATGGAGGAGCAAAGATGGGCAGGGGTGAGATGGGGACTGAGGTTCCAGGTTGGAGCAGGAGGTGAGGTGTGGGTAGTGGGCAGATCAAAGAATCCAGGAGGGGTCTCAGGAAACAAGGGGGCTCTGAAGACTAGGGTGAGATGGTTGAACTTAACATGAGTTGATCCTAGAATCTTAGACTCTATGTATAGGTAAGGACCTTGGGAAAAGCCTTCCACTCAGTTCAAAACCCTTTCTCTAGTCTCCATGATAGGCAAATCATGTAGCATCTACTTGAGTACTTCTATTTTTTTTGCAAGGGGGCAGGTGTTTCCATTGTTGGACAAATTTATTAGAAAGCTTGACTTGACTCTTTTTCGTATGGCTTCTGCTCTTGATTGATTCTGATTCTGCCCTCTGGGCTGCACATACTCAATTATCTTCCATGTGACATATGTCTTTCATGTGACAACCCTTTGAGGTCAGGATGATTAGTGTATTGAAATTTGTGGTATGTGAAGAGGTTTAGGAAACAGTGTTGTGAGTCCAGAATTCAGAAAATAGAGGGATGGAGAGAGGGGTTACAGGTACAGACTTTTCTTCATGCAGCCTAATATTGCACTAGTTTGTGTGTTGTTTTTAGAAACTATTTCACCAATTTGTTCCTTAAAATCCCCTTGGATTTTTCACATGAATGCTTTCAAGTGAGAGAGGTATCCATCCACTGTCCTCCAACTTCCTGTATTTAAGAAGTTGAATTTTTGAAACTGATATTACCAATTGTCCTCCTTCCCCATCTCCTCTGGTCACTTTCAGGCTGCTCCATGTTTCCGTGTCTGTGGTTTATTTTGTTAGTTTATTTTATTGAATAGATTCCACTTATAGGTGAGATCATATGGTATTTGTCTTTCACCGACTAGCTTATTTCACTTAGCATAATATTCTCCAGTTCTATCTATGTTGTCACAAAAGGTAGGAGTTCCTTCTTTCTTTCTTTTTTTTTTAAAAAATGCATATTGATTTTATTTATTTTTTTAAGTGCCAAAATCCATTATAAAATCTTAAAAAATTTAAATCCATTATAAAGTCTCAGCAATTAAAACAACATGACACCAGTGCAGAAATAATTAAGTAGATCAATGGAATAAAATGAGCATTTTAGAAACAAATGTATATATATACCTAACAATGTATTATGATTAAATTGATATTTCAAATCAATGGGGAAAATAAGGCTTATTCAACAAATAAGGTGCATGGACCACTGTTACTTGAAATAAAACAAATAGAGAACCCTATTTCACACAAAAAATATTTTGTGCAAAAAAATATTTATACAAAAAATATACGTATAAAAAATGTTAAAGGACAAGGAATAGTAAAGTATTTGCAACACATCTAAAAAGGGGTTAATAGTTTTTTTTAGGGAAAAAATTCTACAAACATTTAATCAAAAAATGGATAAAGAATACCAAAGAGTCATTTAAAGCTTTTTAAAAAATAATAGAAATAGGCAAGAAATATACAAAAACAGGTTTAGTTTCAACAAATAATAAAGTAACAAAATAACATCATTGTCACAGATTAATAAGTATTATAAATATTGGTAATATCAAGTATTGGTGACTGTGAAAGGAACTGGGTATTCATAGACTCTTTATCTTCTTAAAGCAGTCCCTTTAGCATATTTTGTAATGCTGGTTTGGTGGAGATGCATTCTTTTAGCCTTTTTTTTGTCTGGGAAACTCTTTATTTCTCCTTCCATTTTGACTGAGAACCTTGCTGGGTAGAGCAGTCTTGATTTCAGGCCTTTGCTTTTCATGACTTGGAATATTTCTTGCTATTCCCTTCTGGCTTGTAGTGTTTCTGTTGAGAAGTCAGCTGCTAGCCCCATGCCAGGGCTCCCTTATATGTTACTACTACCTCTTTCTCCCTTGCTGCCTTTAGGATTCTCTGTCTTTGATATTTGCCGTTTTAATGATGATGTGTTCAGGAGTGAACCTCATTGGGTTCCTCTTGAATGGGACCCTCTGTGTTTCCTGGACTTGTGTGACTTTTTCTCTCCTCCAATTCGGGAAGTTTTCCATCATTACTTTTTCAAACAGGTTCTCTATCCCTTCCTCATCCTCTTCTCCTTCTGGTATCCCTATTATATGGATATTATTACATTTCAGATTGTCCTGCATTTCCCTAAATGCCTCTTCATTCTTTTTCAGTCTTTTTTCATTTTCTTGTTCTTTCTGGGAGCTTTTTTCTACCTTATCCTCCAGCTTGCTGATTCATTCCTCTGCTTCATCTAGCCTGCTTTTGATTCCTTTTACTGTGTTCTTCAACTAAGAAATCGTATTCTTCATTTCCTCTTGTCTCTTATCGATAGTTTCTATGTCATTTTTCACTGAGCTCATCGAGCTTCCTTAGAACTGTTGTTTGGAACTCAATATCTGATAGTTTACTTGCCTCTATTTCATTTAGTTCTCTTTCTGGGGATTTCTCCTTTCCCTTCAACTGGGGGGTCCTTCTTTGTCTTCCCATTTTTTGTGAAACTCTTTTTTTTTGCTTTTGTTTCTTAAATTGATCTGTCTTGATTTCCTGACTTTGTGGTGTGAACTTCTATGGTAGAAGACTGCTGCTTTTTCTTTCTGGATCCGCCTCTGATGATGTTAGATGTTGACCCTGTCTGACCTTAGGCAGTCTGTTTGAGACTTCCAGGAATCTACTGTCTGTGGCTCTCTCCTTTAGCTGTTAATCTAGTCACTCTGCACTCAGCAGGCCGGCTTAGGCACCACAGGGCAGGGCAGACCCTCCTGGGGGCAGAGTTATTGGGTCCTCTCACGTTGCTACCACTTAGGGGAGTGGTCTGCCTGAGTCAGATGGCTGCTGCTGTATGAGGGAGGAATCAGCACCAGGATCCTGCTAGCTACTCTCTCTGTTCTATCCCTAAAGCCTCCATCTCCAGTCTCTCCTCAAGTGTCTCTAGACCACTCTGTGCCCCTTTAGCCATGGATCTACTATCTATGGCTGCTACTCTGTACTCAGCAGTCAGGCTTTAGCACTACCTGGCCAGGGCCAAGTCCCTCCTGGGGCGGGGCTATTGTGTCCTCTCATGCTGTTGCCACTCAGGGGAGTGGTCTGCCTGAGCAAGATGGCTGCTGCCCCATGTGGGATGAGTCAGCACCGAGATCCCACCAGCTACTCTCTCAGTTCTCTCCCCAAAGCCTCCTTCCCCAGTCTCTCCTCAGGTGTCTCTAGCCCACTCTGCCCTTAGCCTTTGCTGGAGCCCAGGGTAAGTGGCCACAAGTAAAAATTTATGTGTTGGCCCTTTAAACGGCTCTTTGCGTCTCCAGCTGCCTGTCTCTGGCAGAGAGCAACCCTGCCGCTTTTCCCAGCTGGCTGTTATCTGTGTACTTTTTGGGTCCTGGTGCTGTAGGCTGGAGATCCCTGCTTATGGTTTAGACCCTGCTAATCTCAGGGGGATCGAACTGGCCATTTCAATATCCTTCCAGTGCTGCCTCCTGTGGGCACCCTGCCTGCCTTCTCGAGTCTCTCCTGCACTCCTTATCAGTTATCTTGTGCTAAAGCTGATTCTTCTGTCTGTCTGAAGTTATAAGGCTCCTGTCTTGCTATTGTTCAGTTGTTTGTTCCAGGTGGTTTCTCCACAATTTAGTTGTAATTCCAGGTTGGTGCTGGGAGGAGGCCAGTGTGACTTACATTCATTCCTCTGCCATCTTGATTCTTCTCTCTTATTTCTAAGAATGCAAAAAAAAAAAAAAAAAAAAAAAAATCCAAAGAGAGGGAAACGGCTTGGTCAAACAATATCCATGACAGTCATTTAGTAACTTAATGAATCAACCATGGAGAAAAAATCCATTTGATTTGACTTTTCCTGTTGCTGGCTCCAAGCCTCTCACACATTTTATAATTCTCGTTATAGGTTCACAAGAGATTGACATCAAGTTTAACTTGGAGAAGTCAAAATTTCTCCCCTTTGAATATGAGGACATTTGCTGTGTCTGTGGTTCTGGATTCTGGAATCTGTCCTACTCTCCATAGTTCTCAAGGACACTGGCATACTCATCCTCTTAGCAGCCCCTAGCCCTCCTAGGATATGCTCTTTTGGCCTGGACCCCTGTGATCCCTAGCAAGTCCAAGGCATCTCGTACTCTCTGCATCTGTCTTGGGTTTCTATTTCTTCTATAGCACACTGCCTTTTCCAGTTTGATGACTGTTCCTTTTTATGGAAAAAGACAAAAAAGTTGAGTTGTTGGCTTTGTCTGGATTTTCTGACTCCCTTGTTTTTCTTGCCTAGAGCTTATCTAACATCCCCATCCACTGGTTGTAACAGTTTCCTGGCTCATCTTTGGCTGTGCTGCTTTTTCTCCTTTCAACATTTCTATGTGACTGGTCTAGACGGAGCTTGCTGGGGAGTGTTCTGTGCCCTCAGGCTGGTTTCTTAGGTGCCTCCCCAGTTTCTTCCTTACTGGGTTATTGATGGTCATTTGTTGTTTGGGGTTTCCTCATTTCTTTTCTTAGGTTCTTATCTCTTCAGGTCAATGTTTCCTATGTTCCTCTTCTCTGATGTGTAATTGAGCAATTGGCTTTCCTACACTCTAAGGCACACATCTGGCATACCTAGCATCCTTTCCTTTGCTATTCCTTGTCCATTGACACATATTTACTGAGTATCTCCCAGAGGACAACAGAAGGACAAAATTCCTGTCTTTGAGGGGCCTGGGTTACCATGTGATGAGAGCCATCACAGTGACAGGGTCAAGGTGCATGGAGCAAGCTGTGGCTGACACTTCCAGGGGAAGGGGGGTTAGGGGAGTTTCAGAGGAGATGGCATTTGAATTGGATTTTGAAGGAAAGGTGGGACTTCTAAAGGAGGAGCAGGGAGAACTACCAGCCAGGATGCCAGCCAAAGATCACAGTGTGTTTGAGGAGAAGCAGGTGGGCTGGGCATGGAGTGTGTTGGAGGTTAAGGTGAAGAGATGAATAGGGAAGGTGAGCTAGGGACCAAGCTAGGAACCAGGCCAGGGTCACTTCCTGTCAAATTTCCTCATTTTTTTTTTTAAAGATTTTATTTATTTTTAGAGAGAGGGAAAAGGAAGGAGAAAGAAAGGAAGAGAAACATCAATGTGTGGTTGCCTCTCACAGAGCCCCTATTGGGAACCTGGCTGGCAATCCAGGCATGTGCCCTGACTGGAAATCAAACCAGCAACACTTTGGTTTGCACCTGGGGCTCAGTCCACCGAGCTACTCCAGCCAGGGCTCTTAACTGTTTTTCTGTAGTGCCCTGAGGGAAAGAATGAAGGCCAGACCAGTCATTCCCTTTTTCCCACATGAGTGAGTCCACTGAGATTGTCACTGTGGCACTTGACAATGGATTTCACAATCTGACTTTGGTTAAGCCAGATCTTAAGGAAATCTGGAGGTCCATCCAGCAATTCCTGGCATGTTTTACAGGGCAGGAAAGGAGCTTCATGGACTCCCTCGGCCTGGAGGGTCCCTGTGGATCCAGTGCCAGCTCCAGTGCAATCAGTTTGACCTCATCTTGCTCAGATCCTTCTCACCCATTCTTCCCTTCAGCATCCCTGGTGCCTAAGGAGGCACTGGCCTTTTAATCCACAAAGCCCTTTCCTCTCCGCTTACATTGGCTCTGTTTCTTTGGAAAACCTAGACTTTCTGTCCCCTGGTTCTAACAAAACCACCCTTATCCTCTCTTGGTGGTGTCTGGTAGACAATTTTTGCCTCCATGTCTTAAAAATTCTAAGTTGATTATCCTCAGGACCACGCTCTGGCATGGGACTGCAGAGGGTCCCTGAGGTGGGGGGGTGAGGGGGTGATCCTGCAAATGATGCCAACATGTCATCATGGGGAGAAAGAAAACTGTGACAAGGTGATGCCATCTGTGATAAAAAGGCCTTGTGGGCATCTTGACTGATCTTCAGAGAAATCTGGACAAATAAAGCATTTACTGAGCACTCACCACGGGCCATATGGGTCTGAATCCTCACAGTGATTGCACGAGGAAGGCGTTATATCGTGTCCATTTTATAGAAAAGGGGACTGAGGCTTTGTGAGGCTTAGTGACAACCCTGGTCACACAGCAGGTGAATGTTAGGCTGGGGACTTGACTTGACTTTGTCTCTCTGCAGAGCTCATGTCTTTTCACTAAACCATGAATATTTCAGTGACTGGATTTCTGTCCCCTTCCCCGCAACCCATTCCATCTTTTAAAAGGTAATTTTAATTTTCTAAATCTATGTTAGTATGGATAATAGTTTTAGCTTGTGTAGTTCTCTCTTTATTTCTGTCTCTACTTTATAGTGTAGGTTATCTCAGTTCTGTGGCAGACTCCCTTGGTTTGAGACTGGGCTCCTCACGTACTAGTTTGTGATTTTGGGCAAGTTGCTCTTTGTGCTATTGGAAATGAACTAGTGCCTGTCAAGTACCTAACACTGGCCTGACAACAGGAATTGTTTACTAAATGAGAGCTGTTATTATTTTATCTTTGTCTATTACAATCCCATTGGCTGCAATGAAGGGCCAATGTATGAGAAAAGACGGAGACAATACCAGAATATGTTGGAAGGTGTTGACCTTTAGAGGGAAGATGCTCTCCTTGTTGGGAGTCACTCAGGAGCACTGAGTGGATGAGTGATTTGATCAGCTGGAGTCTGGGGGCAGGAAGGAGCATGGGAAAGATAGAGGCATAACCCAACTGGGAACCAACACCATGATGACCTAGAGATAGAGCTGATCTCAAAGCCAGAACACGGGAACCAAACCTGCCCTTTGTGTCATCTTTAAATGCTGTTTATGCGTGAAAGCTATTGGTCCTAGAAATACAGGGAGGGTCCAAGAGCATCACTCTGGTCTATAAATGAATGACAGTGTATTCTAGAGGAAATCACTCGGGCTTTGTCACTCAAATGACTCATTTCAGTTTGGGCCCCACTCAGACTGGATGACTTTGGATCTGGTGAACTTGGATATGTCACTTCTTTTCTCCAAGCCTCTTTCCTTACTATCAGGACCACCAATGGTGGTGCAGGTTGTTAACTGGCTGAATGGATAGTGGGGTTCAAATCATGCTCATGCTCAGCGCCCCAGGTACTGGTATGGGAGAACCTGCCCGGAGGGGAAGCTTTTCCTAATTTGCACAAATGCCCCCTGAGGGCCAGTTGTGGCCCTACCTGTCTCAGAAGGGGTTCTGCGATGAAAGGGGAGAGTGAATATGCTGGCTTGGGGCCTGGCACCAACTTGAGTGCAGTAAGTACGCATTCCCTTTCCCCTTCTTTAATCTTCTGGAAGACTGCAAATCCATAAAAATAAATACTGTTTATTAAAATGGGAGCCCATTTCACAGCTGAAGATACTGAGGCCTTTCTTGTAGGGTGTAGCCTGGAGAAGAGCACAGACCTCCTGATGCCACCTGAACCCCATCCTTCATCCTTTGGCTGCTTCCTGGGGGCCTGATGGCATCTATTTCTGTTTCTGCAGGAGCTGAGCCAAGTGCAGACACACGTGTCTGACACCAATGTTATCCTCTCTATGGACAATAACCGCAACCTCGATTTGGACAGCATCATTGCTGAGGTGAAGGCCCAGTATGAGCTGATTGCACAGAGGAGCAGGGCTGAGGCTGAGGCCTGGTACCAGACCAAGGTGAGAAGAATGGCTGGCTTAGGTATATGAGCTGGGACTGGATCTTCCCCACCTGTGAGAGGCCTGGTCCACTGGACTCCTTGCAGGCCCAGGGCCAGATACACCGAGCTTACATAGGGACCTCCAGCTGTGAGAGTGGACTTGGGGACCAGTGGTTACCCATGTGGGCCAGGAACTATTTGACAGCTCACTGCCACTTCTTTGACTTCTAGTATGAGGAGCTGCAGGTGACCGCTGGGAAGCATGGGGACAACCTGCGGGACACCAAGAATGAGATTGCTGAACTCACCCGCACTGTCCAGAGGCTGCAGGGTGAGGTGGATGCAGCCAAGAAGCAGGTGAACCTCTGGTTGGAGGCCCAGGTGTTGGTGGAGATGGGGGGAGGGCCTTCTAATTGTCATTCTCAGGGGTCATAGCTGCTCTTCCCCTGGTGGACAGGACACACTCAAACACTGGACCATCAAGATCAACATGCTCCTTTTACAGGAGAGGAAACTGAGGCCCAGAGAAAGAAAGGGATTGCCCAAGGTCATACAGCATATTAGTGATAGAGCAGGTGGGATGACCTCCTCTAAGGAGATTGATCCCTTCTCTAGAAGATCAGAGAAGAGGATAAGGGTTCAAGGGTCCAGGTCATAGCTGCTGACTCCATTTAGGGTATGGCTGAAAAGTGGGGACTCATCCTCAGATCAGAATGAAGCACTGGTTATTGGTAAGGTTGTATTACTTTTTCTTTTTTAATCTCTTTTGAGGCACTAGGCTGAGTTGCAGCAAGAGAGACCAAGGTTAGATGTCAGTAAGGACTTCCCTATCAGTGTTACATGATCTTCCCTGTGTAATAGCATCTCCTCCTTCAGATGAATATTTCTGATTTCCTTCTCTCCTAGTTGGTTGTGGTGGGGGCAGATGGGGGATGGTGATGCCTGGCTTAAGAACAGAGAGATGGGTGTGATGACCTTGGAGGGTGTTCATAACACCTCTTATCCCCTGGGCAGTGCCAGCAGCTACAGGCTGCCATCGCAGATGCAGAACAGCGTGGGGATTTGGCATTAAAGGATGCTCAGAAGAAGCTTGGGGACCTGGATGCAGCCCTGCTCCAGGCCAAGGAGGACTTGGCCCGACTGCTGCGTGACTACCAGGCCCTAATGAATGTCAAACTGGCACTGGACGTGGAGATCGCCACCTACAGGAAGCTGCTGGAGAGCGAGGAGAGCAGGTGAGGGGCCCTCCTGCCTGATTTTGAGGGCTTCCTACCATTACCCAGTGGGAGAGCCTGTGTAGTTGGCTCTGGTGTCAGGGACAGGGTAGTAAGGGAGGAACCAGGGAGCTGGGCCCCTAACTCCTCACCTGAGGGAGATGCCCCACTTGTGTTTATTGCATCTGCTGCACATCTCCTTGGTTGGCACAACCCTCGGTAATCCTGATGGTCGTTGGTAGACCAAGAGGAGTGAGGCTGCTTCTTCCAACACCAGATTCATCATCTCTGTCCTTGGGGAAAGCATGAGATGTAGAGAAAGTCACCTTAGCCAGAAACTGGGCAGCTCTCTTTTGGCATGGGCTTTGTTTCCCTCCCTCAGCAGGGATGCTGCTTATGGCCTGCATGAGGATGGAAAGGTGGGCGCGGTGGTGGCCTGCTGGGGCTCTTCTCTGCTGCTCTGGCTTTAGGGCTTGCTGGAAGGGGACCCAGGCCCAGCATGACCACAAGTGCATTCTTCTCGTGTCTCCTGGTCTTGGTTCTCAAGAGATGACCAACTGAATTGATCCACTGTAAAGGCAGAGAGAGGGAGGGAGAGACTTTTTGCTCAGGTTCTTGGAACCACTGACCCTTGTCCTGGCCTTTCTGTTTTCCCCAGGATGTCTGGAGAATGCCCCAGTGCTGTCAGCATTTGTGAGTATTTTGCTGCCCTGCCCCAGACCGGGCCCCTGTCTTCTGCTCAGTCCACTCAATTTGTCCTTGGCCAAAAGCATACATTCCCTACATTTGAGCCCCTGGAGACAGGTTCAGGGGGTCCCAAAAGAATGAGCTTTCTGTCCCGACCTCTCCATCCATTTCCTATGACCCCACTGCCTGACTATGTTCCTGCCCCTCCCTGATTTCTGAAAGTCCCCGGCCCTCTCTCAGCATGGCTTCCCCATCATACCTACATCCTTTTTTTCTTTTTTGCAGCGGTGACTGGCAACTCTACCACTGTGTGCGGAGGCGGCGCAGCTGGCTTTGGGGGTGGCGTCTCCCTGGGTGGGAGTGGGGGTGCCAGTAAGGGCAGCTTCAGCACCAATGTGGGCTACAGCAATGTCAAGGGTGGACCCGTTTCTGGGGGCACCTCCATCCTGCGGAAGACCACCACAGTCAAGACGTCCAGCCGGAGGTATTAGCTGCTGATCCTAGCAAGCTGGGGCCCTTGTAGTCCTCTCCCCACCCCACCACCCACCTCTGTTGCCTTCCCTACCCACCTTCTCAGGAGCAGGAATTGCTCCAAGACCACAGATATGGTGTATTTGCATGCCAGACTCTTTGCATGTAATCTGCATTTTGGGAAGAGCTCACTTCTACCCAGCTTTCTCCTTGGTTCTGTGATGGGGATGGGTGGAGAAGTTAAGGCCACCAGCTTGAGTGATGTGTTTAGGGGATTTGGGATGACCATGTGTCCACTGAGAGGAGGCTGGATTTCTCAGACCATCTTGGTTTTCCACACCTCTGGTTTGAACTCAGGGAAGGCTAGGGGAGGAGGAAGGGAAGCCAAGAGTGGTCCCCAAATGCCCTTCAACCTCTCCAGTTCCCAACCATGCCACCAGCTCCCTGAATCTATACACAGCCCCCTCTGCTGTCTGTGCCTGTGATGTGTCTCAATAAATGGCAACTGCAGCTAGCTGTCCGTCTGTGGCTCCAGTCTGTCTTGCCTGGGAAATTGCCAATTGATTAACTCCCTGATGGTTGAGGAAGCAACAACCACCTACTCACTATGCCCCAATTATCATGCTGAAAGCACATTAGCTCAATATTATCACTACTCTTGGCACAACTCATACTCCCTCTTGCAGAGCTCATAGAAGGCTGGGTGGGAATATGTAAGTTACTCAAAGCAGAACCCAGGTACTGAACGGCTGTCTTATCACCCAGCTCATCACCTGATACTACTGAACCCTCCACTAACTCTGCGGGGCAGACAGCATGATTGTTCAGGATAGATCTTGGGCTTCAGAACTAGCAGACTTGGGTTTAAATCCCAGGTTTTCCACTTACTAACAGTGTGACCTTGGGCTAGATACTTTACCTCTCTGAGTGCCAGTTTCTCCTTTGCAAAAGCAGGATGTGATGAGAATATGTGTGAAGCATCTGACTTACGAGGGCCTTGATAAGAATTGCTTCCCTTTGATTTCCTTCTCCCTGGATTCTGGTTTCCCAGCTCATCATCCTGGAGTCAGATTTCTCTCTCAGCCTTCTCACCCAGTCATCAATAAAAATTCACATTTTTCTGTCAACAGCAGAATACACATTCTTCTCAAGGGCACAGGGAACATTTTCTAGGATAGATCATATATTATGCCACAAAACAAGTCTTAGCAAATTTAAGAAGATTGAAATCATACCATATATTTTTGCTGACCAGAGCAGTACAAAATTAGAAATCAATAATACGAGGGTAACCAGAAAATTCTTGAATGCATTTAAATGAAACAATGCTCTATTGAACAACAAATGCACCAGAAAAAAATTAAAAGGAAAGTAAGTTTCTTGGGACAAATTAAAATGAAAATACACACACCAAAACTTATGGGATGCAGCAAAAGTAATTCTAAGAGGGAAATTTATAGCAATAAAAACATACATCAAAAGAACAGAAAGATCTGAACTTCCAGCAAAGATGGAGGCGTAGGTAGGTATGCTTTGCTTCCTTGCACAACTAAAGGAAGGACAACAACATATTTACAAACAAAAAACACTCAGGAATGCCAGAAAATTGAACTGTATGGAAGCCCAACAAGCAAGGAGTTAAAGAAGAAACATTCATCCAGACAGATAAAAGGGGTGGAGACAGGTAGCCAGGGTGGAGAGGATGTGTGGCAAGGTAGTGGACAGGGCAGGCAAAGCAGTGGCTGGAGGACCGGGTGGGCGAGGTGGCAACTGATGGTCCGAGTGGTCCCACATTTGCACATGGATAAGCCAGGAGGAACAACTGAGGAGCCAGACAGTCTGTGCAATGGAGGGTTCCTATGCAGGAAACTAAAGCCCCAACACCTCTGGCTATAAAAACCTGTAGGAGTTGCAGCAGCAGGAGAAATTCCCAGTATCACAGGAGAGTTTGTTGGAGCCGAGGAGTCCTAGAATGTACACAAACCCACTCACCTGGGAATCAGCACCATAAGAGCCTAATTTGGTTGTGGGAACAGGGGAAATGACCGAAAGCAAGGCAAGAGCCAAGCAAGTGGCATTGTTCCCTCTTTGGTCCCTCCCCTACATGCAGCGCCACAACACAGTGACATGAGTTGCTCCACCCTGGTGAATACCTAAGGCTCCACCCCTTAAAACATAACAGGTATGCCAAGACAAAGAAATATGCCCCAAATGAAAGAACAGATCAAAACTCCAGGAAAAAACTAAGCAATGAGGAGATAACCAACCTACTAGATGCAGAGTTCAAAAACACTAGTAATCAGGATGCTCACAGAAATGACTGAGTATGGATGCAAAATAGAGGAAAAAGTGAAGGCTATGCAAAATGAAATAAAGAAAAATATACAGGGAACCAAGAGGGAAGAGGAGGAAGCTGGAACTCAAATCAATGATTTGGAACAGAAGGAAGAAATAAACGTTTAACTGGAACAACATGAAGAAAAAACAATTTAAAAAATAATGCAGGGAGGCTTATGAACCTCTGGGAGAACTATAAATGTTCCAACATCCAAATCATAGGAATGACAGAAGGAGAAGAGGAAGAGCAAGAAATTGAAAACATTTGAAAAAATAATGAAGGAAAACTTCCCCAACCTGGTGAAGGAAAGAGACTTCTGGGAAGTCCAGGAAGCCCACAGAGTCCCAAAGAAGTTAGGCCCAAAGAGGAACACAGCAAGACACATCATAATTAAATTATCCAAGGTTCAAGATAAGGAGAGAATCTTAAAAGCAGCAAGAGAAAGGCAGTGACTTACCTACAAAGGAGTTCCCACAGGACTATCAGCTGATTTCTCAAAAGAAACCTTGCAGGCAAGAAGAGGCTGGAAAGAAGTATTCAAAGTCATGAAGGGCAAGGACCTACAGACAAGATTACTCTATCCAGCAAAGCTATGATTTAGAATGGAAGGGCAGATAAAGTGCTTCCCCCATAGGGTAAATTTAAAGGGGTTTATCATCACCAAGCCATTATTATGAAGTGTCAGAGGGACTCACTTATCTAAGAAAAAGAAGAAGATTAAAACTAGGAACAGGAAAATGAAAGCAAACTCACAGCAAAAACAAACTAAGCAAACAACTGGAAGAGGAACGTAATAACAGAAATGGAGATCACATGGAGGGTTATCATTGGGGAGGGGAGGGGGAGAATGACAGAAAAGGTACCGGGAATAAGTAGCATAATTGGTAGGTATAAAATAGACAGGGGGAGGTTAAGAATAGTATAGGAAATGAAATAGTCAAAGAACTTATATGTATGATCCATGTACATGAAATAAGGTGGGGAGAATGCTGGTGGGGGTGCGGGTGCAGGGTAGAGGGGGATACAGGTGAGAAAAAAATGGAACAACTATAATAGCATAATCAATAAAATATATTTAAAAATTAAAAAAAAAAACAGACTAGAAAGATCTCAAATAAACAACCTAAATTTACACCTCAAGGAACTACACAAAGAAGAACAAACTAATCCCAAAGTTAGTGGAAGGAAGGAAATGATAAAAATTAGAACAGAAATAAATTAAATAGAGAATAGAAAAATGATAGACGAGATGAACAAAACTAAGAGTTGGTTCTTTGAAAAGATAAACAAAATTGACAATCTTTAGCTAGACTAACCAAGAAAAAAGAGAGAGGACCTAAATCAACAATACTATATGGGAAAGAGGAGATCTTACGTCCGATAGCACAGAAATACAAAGGATCATAAGAGGCTACTATGAAAAACTGTTTGCCAACAAACTGGACAGCCTAGAAGAAATAGATAGAGTCCTAGTAACACACAACCTACCAAGACTGAATCAGGGAGAAACAGAAAATCCGAACAGGCCTATTACTAACAAGGAGATTAAATCAGTAATAAAAAAATATCCCAACAAAGAAAAGCCCAGGACCAGGTGGCTTCACTGGTGAATTTTACTGAACATTTAAAGAATCAACACCAATCCTTCTCATATTTCCAGAAAAATCAAAGAGGAGGGAAAACTCCCAAACTTATTTTATGAAGTTAACATTACCCTGCTATCAAAACCAGGTAAGGACGGTATAGGAAAACACTATAGAGCAGTATCCTTAATGAATATAGATGCAAAAATTCTCAAAAAATACTAGAAAACCAAATTCAGAAAAATGTTAAAAGGATCATACATCACAATCAAGGGGTATTTATCCCTGGGATGCAAAGTTGATTCAGCAATTACAAATCAATAAACATGATATATTACATTAGTAAAATGAAAGATAAAAATTATATGACCCTCTAATAAATGCAGAAAAAACATTTGACAAAATTCAAAATCCATTCATGATAAAAACTATTAACAAATTAGATATAGAAGGAACTATACCTCAACATAATAAGGACCCCAGAGGGTAACTTTCAGGGCCTCATGGAGGGGCCAGCAGGTGAGAAGGCTCCCGGACCCCTCCTGTGCACCCGTCAGAGCACCTGTCCATTGATTTGTTTTTACAAGTGGGGCTGGGCATGTGTTTCTGAGGACAAGAATGGTTTTGCTGAAAAACGTTGGGTAACCTCTGCGTCCACATGCCCCGGGTGGATGACTACGAGGGGCTGCTCTCTGCCCTTGGGAAGGAGAGGACCCTGTGCACAGACCCGCTCACCCCCTGATTCTAAGGAGTCCCTGCCCTTTCATTGCCCTTGCTGGTTCCTTCCCAAAATGCTGAGTAGGTCTTCTCTGCAGTCTCTGATCTGCAAGTTGGCTCTGGCTCCCCAGAGAGTGACTCAGGCACAGTGGCATTGCTGAAGCCAGTGACCGAACTGGCCAGGTTTGGGGCTGAGAGTGAAAGACCTCGGGATTCCTGTAATCCCAGGGCTGAATGTGAGGCTTGCCTTTCTCACCCAGGAAGTCCTGAGCAAACATACCCGCCTGCCCCTGCTCCACAACCCTGTCAGCTGCTCATCCCTCTTGATGAGGTGTGGAATGGTGGCCAGGTGAGGAAGGGGCATGGAGGACAATGGCAGGAGTGGTGGGGGTGGGGCAGGGATCAGCTTCTAGCTGTTGCTGCCAGGTTGAGTCGTCCTGCCCCAACCCTTGGCCACTGGCCCATGGAGGCCAGAGGCATCTTTCTACTTTTCAGGGAAATAAACTCTTTTCTTTACCTCTCTCACTGTAGGGTAAAAGCTCTCTCATGTAAGAAGCTTTTCCTTATATCTGCCTTAGGCTTTTCATGCTACAGTTTGAGGATTTGGGAGAACTTCCAGCAATTCTGACAATAACAAAGCCATAATATGGCTCTAGACTAGAACTTTCTTCCTGTTTGGTTTGGGTTTATTATAGGATTTGTAATTAAGTTAATTTGGATTTATTATTTGGAGGACACAGATCTGGCCCTTTGAGACAGTGTCATACCTTATTGGATACTCCTAAATTCAGAGGCACATAAACCAAACAATCAATCACGTGATAAGGGCAAGGACGGAAGGAGCAGAGATACCTCTGCGGAAAATGCAGCGAGCTGTCCAAGGCCCTGTTGCTGCTCTGGTGGACCATGAACGACCGGTCTGTATGAGTTGCCATATGCTTTTTCCCCTGCACTTTCTGTGTGAGACAGAGTCACTGATATAAAGCGCTGTGGTGTAGAGGTTAAGGTCACAAGCTTGAAGTCAGACAAGACTGGCCTCCCACCTCCCCTGCTCCCTAGCTGTGCGATCTCGGGGAAGACATATAGCCCCTCTGAGCCTCATTGCCTGCAGCTCTGAAGTGAGCGTAACAACACGTCTTTTGCAGGGTTGTGAGGATCGGAAGTGTTATAAGAAAAGCATCCAGTGTCCAGTCTACCGTGGCAGCTCTAAATGAGAGTCACTTTCACCTGAAAACCACTGTGGCTTTTTCCTCATCTTACTTTTTGTCTCAGGGAGGTGTATACCTCAATTTAGAATTAACCTTCACAGGAAGCACCTCAATATTTGCTCCATGGTTTGGGTGCCTGACAAGCACAAAATCAGATTGGTTGTATATTATATATTATTTCCCTGAAAATCCCTTCCAGACCACTGGGTTTTTGTTTTGGGCGCTGGACACAAGCGGATGCAGCTCTAGGTACAGCACGCCACGTCATTTTCTCCTAGCACTGGAGTGTCACAGCCACAGACTACGAGACACAAAGGACTCATCCTGGGGCTTCACCTCGGCAGATGCAATCTCTCCTCCTAGCCTGTGAATGTCCTCATCAGTCCCTCAGGGACAGCCCGGAGAATGGAGCCGTGAGTGCAAGGGGCCGAGATCCAGGTGTCCGTCCAGGGGTCTGAGCTCCCGGGCTCTCGCTCAGGTTATGCTCCTGGTGTCATTCCTACCTCCTCTTGGGGCAGGAAATCAGACAATCAGACCTCGGTTCCTGCAGCAGCAGCAGCCCCAGAGACCTGAAGTAGCTCTACCTTTCTTATTAGCCAGGCCCACCCTTGGAGTCAGGGTGGAAATCAGCAGACACTTGGATGCTGGGACCCTCAGAGGCCCCTTGATCTGATCTGTCAGTTCAGTCAGGTTTATTCAGTTGCCCAGTTCTGGATTGGAAGCTGCACAAATGAGACTAACTGACTTCCTAACAGGCAGGACGGTACGGGTGAGAGGTCAGGGAATGCAGAGCCTTTGGGACCAGACTAATGTGGGTTCAAGTCTTGGCTCCGCCACGACTTGACCAGACGCTACTTTACTTCCCTGAACTTCCAGGTCCTCATATGCATACAGGGCTGATGATACCAGCTAGGTATAGCTTGGGGAAGATTAAATAATCACATGTACATAAAGCTTCCCACACAGTGGCCTGGCACAAAGTTGACACTCACTAAATACGCATAAAAAGGATGAGTGAACAACCCTGGCCCTTATAGGAAATGGTCCTGGCTCTAGAGTGCCCGCTTAGTGCAGGTGGACAGGCCACCCCTTGGGCTTTCTCCCATGGACCTCGTGGGGGCGGGGAGCCCGGGGCCTCCTGCCGCCACTGTCAAGGGTCTTCCACTCACTCTGCATTTACTCAGAGGCTACCCGGGCACAGCAGGGGGATCTCAACAAAGGCCGAGGTAGATGGGACGGAGCCTTTGGGACCAGTGGTAGAGGCAAGAGGCGAGCGGGGAGAGGAGGATGGAGGTGGGGAGAGAAGGAGCTGGCCAAGGACAGAGACCCCCCCCAGCCAGTCCAGCCTTCCCTGTAGCACTGTCCTCAAGGCCTGGATCTACTGACCACCCTCTTCTTGCCCCTTGGCCTTGCTCTCGCTCTGCATGGAGGGAGCAGTTCGTTTTCTCTGCGGTCCTCTTTCCTTCGGTCAGGGCCAGCTCAGGCCTTTGGGAATGATCCAGGCTCTGGTTGCTGCTGCTCCCCAGATTGGAGATGGCAGCCTCATGAGGAGGTGAGAAGTGGAGAGGGGTACAGATTTATCTAATTTCTCCTCATGAGGGACAATGGCAAAGCCCGGGCAGGAAAACAATGAATGCTTACTGACCTACTAAGTGCCAGGCACCGTAGGTATGTTGTCTCATTACTTATGAGGCAGGCGTCCCATTTTATGGATGAGCAGATGGGTTGAATGTGTTCTGAGGGGTTAGCTGACCTGCCCAAGACTGCACTGCTACCCAGTGGCAATAGGTAGGATTTGAACACAGATCTGTTGCACTCAGTGGGAAAGCATTAAAGTTGGGGCTTAAAACTAGAATTTTGTATTTGGAAACATTTTTCTGAGAAGGGGCTCCTAGGGGTCTCCAGCACCAAAAATATTACAAATGTTTTTGAATGCCGAGACCAATCATGAGAAGGCAGAACAGGATCTGTCCTAGTGGAGACAAGCACATGGCTGGGCAGCAAATGGAGCAGAGGTGAATCTTGATCGAGGTTTGGAAAGCTATAGGCTGTAACATGGAGTTACCCTTTGGTATGTGCACATGGGGCCAAGTGCACATTGGGGAATGATAATGACAATAATAACAAACATATGTGCAGCTTCTGATAATTTACAAAATAACATTTCCAATTTACGGGTGAAGTAACCAAGCCTCAGAAAGTGATTTGCTCCAGGTTTGCAGAGCAGGTAAGAGCAGGTTGTGTACTTGAACCCAGGCCCTCAGCGTCCAAATTCTGCCCAGTGGGAGAAAAGTGATGGATTGTCTTATCTGGAGCAAGGAGGCCACAAGCAGGCAGGTGGGATGGAAGGGTAGTGGGTGGGGGACCTGGAAGGTGGGGCCAGGCAGGGCCTGTGATACAGGAGGCCCTGGAGCACCAGTTCAGGTTCTCCTGAAGGGGAGGGAGTGTGTTGGAATTCAGTTTCCTGTGCCCTCCAAATGACTTCTGTAGGTGTGTTTAGTGACGTGCTCGGCAAGTGTGAGAAGAATGGCCTGTTGCCAAAAGCCAAGCCCAGAGATGTTTCAGATTTTTCCCTTTATGCCCCTGCAACCAAGCCCTGCTGCTCTAGCACATATAAGAGAACCAGGCTAGGGCTGCAGCATGCATTGGCCTGAGCCCTCTTGCTTCTCTCTGACAACTCAGAGCTCACTCTCTTCTCTCCAGCCATGATCTCCAGACAGCAGGGCGTTCGAGGCCTGTCCCAGGGCTTTAGCGTTGGCTCAGCTGTTGTAGGTGGCGTCAAGAAGGTTGCTTTCAGCTCAGCCTCCATGTCTGGGGGTGCGTGCCGCAGCTCCTCTGGGGGCTTTGGCAGCAGGAGCCTCTTCAACCTCCGAGGGAACAAGAACATCTCCATGGCTGGATGCCGGCAAGGTGCCAGCTTTGGGGCTGCTGGAGGTTTCGGGGCTGGCAGCTTTGGTGCTGGTTTCGGCGCTGGCAGCTTTGGTGGTGGATTCGGGGGCTCCTTTGGTGGACGGGGTGGTCCTGGCATGTCCGTCTGCCCTGCTGGAGGGATTCAGGAGGTCACCATCAACCAGAGCCTGCTGACCCCACTCCATGTGGAGATCGACCCCGAGATCCAGAAGGTTCGGACTGAGGAGCGAGAGCAGATCAAGACCCTCAACAACAAGTTTGCCTCCTTCATAGACAAGGTGAGCCCTCTCCTTGGCCAGGCAAGGTGGCAGAGCCAAGGTTCCTGAGTCCTGGCACCTCAGACCCAGGCCTGCCACAGGAAAACCACTGAGCTACTGTGGGCCTCTCTTTTCGAACTGTTAAAGGGAAATCAGTGTTCTGAGTCTCTTTTGTTTCATGGCTGGTAGGCTGTCAAAGTAGTTCAATATTTGGAGTTTTCCAGATGTGCTGTGTGATACTTGGAAAATCATTCAGCTTTTTCAAGTCCAATCACCCCAGCTATAAAGTGGGTTCATTATTTCCCTGCTTTTTTTCAGATTTTGGTTTTAAATATAACAGTTAATAATTTAATAATTTACTAAAAAATTAATTGTAGTTAATATGGTAATTTAACTATTGACACTTCTGTTGAAACAGAAGAAAACCAGGCTGGTTTCTCAAATGAATAATGGACTGGCTCCAATGGCAGAATCAAAGTTCTAGCAGGACCTTGGAAGGTCAATGCTATCATCCTTCTGACTCTGGGCAAAGTTGCTTTTTTGGGTCTGTTTGAAGAAATGAGAGGATGGGTCTCTCTTTCTCTTCTTGTAGTCCAACTTTTCCATGCAAGGTTAGAGCTCCATTATAGCCAAGTATAATGGATGGTAGGAAGCAGATTAGCCTCAGAGAGCTGAGGCATCCCACGATTAATGACTGAGTGGATAGGTGTAGCACACTTGGTCAAGGATGCCCTAGGTCTCTGTGTGTTGAAGTCTTAGTCCACTTAGATGTAGGAGGCAAGAATGAACAAACTTGAAGTAGATTTGAGTGGGATTGTTTGCTCTTCTTGCTAGTTTGAATAGACCAATAGTAGCTTAAAGAGGCTTATTGCGACTTTAGGACATACAGATATAAAAGCAAGACCAAAGTTTTGGTGTTTTCTTGTGCCATCTCATCTTTTGGGTTCAAGTTGTGATCAGTGGCCTTTACCAGCTTTCATCTCAATTCTGAAGCACATAAAGTGGAAATGCCATGTTAACCTGATACCTTGATTTATCTAGCTAACTCTTCTCAAAGAAAAAGGGAAAGTCCTGGCAAGCCCACTTGCAGAACTGAGTCTACCTGAGACTCAAAGTATGTCTTCGGCTGTGATCTTAATTCTTTGTATTCAGCTGTGCACATGTTCACAGGGACACACCAGGCCCATTTATGAGTAACTGTATTTAAAAAATCAGCAGTGGATTTGTCATTCCTTTGCCATGGGTCCAAGTCATTTTAAATGCAAACCCTCAGATTGTGGTTGTATCCCCTAATTTTGTCTTATTTTATTATTTCATAGAAATTCAGTGTTCTTAGCAACTCTTCCCAGAGCCTCTGGATCCCTTTAGGGGAAAGTGTTCTTGCTGCCCTGGCTGTGCTCTCTTCTCCCAACCTACACAGCCCATTTGCTCACAATGAGACCACCGTGTTGACCTCAATGGATAATTCCTGGAGTTGCAACATGATGGCTCTCCTTGGATGGCTTTTGAGTTCCCTGTTTGGCTTGTATTGATGGGGCTAGTGTTGGCCATGTTCAACCCTCCTGTCAAACCTGCAGGCCTTCACCAGTTGGCCCGTACTTATTTTAAACACAGGTACGATTCTTAGAGCAACAGAACAAGGTTCTGGAGACAAAATGGAACCTCCTCCAGCAACAGACAACCACCACATCTAGCAAAAACCTGGACCCCTTCTTTGAGGCATATCTTAGTGCACTAAGGAAGCAGCTGGATACCTTGGTCAATGACAAAGGGCGCTTGCAGTCTGAGCTGAAGACCACGCAGGACAGTGTGGAGGACTTCAAGACCAAGTATGTGGGGAAGAAAGAGGGGATGCCATCTCACAAATCTGCCTGCCCCTTCCCCAGGCTCCCTGGGATCCTCTTCAGTCATTTACAGCCCCAGACTCTGAAGATATCTCTAGAGTATCAGGAAGGTCTTCTAGTCTATTCCCCTGTATCTCCATGGTCACAGTTTAGTGGGGTGAAGTCTAGTAATCCTAAGTTGTTCCAAACATAAAATGAATGATACATTTAGAGATCTGGACTTGTCATATACAAACAAGATTAGAAATCAAACAAATGAAAAGTACTATACTATGGTCAGAAGACTACAGGTTATAGAGACAGATGGACCTGGTTTGAATACCGATTCTTTCAATTACTTGCCATGTGATCTTGGATAAGATGCTTAATCTCTTTGAACCTCAGTTTTCCTCATATTTAAAATGGGAATATTGTTCCTACCTTATAGGTTGGCAATTAAATGAAATTAAACAAAGTAATGAAAGTAGGTAGCACAGTGCTTAACATACAATGAACATTCAATCCATAGTAGCTCTTAGTATTATGCTCATTCATTACGGGGTGGAGCTTAGAAGTGACCAGCCCTCTCTCTCTCCATTCACTCTCACATGAAACAGAGAGAGTTTAATTTACCAAATGGCCAAAAGGAGAGCCCTTCAATGGAAATAAAATCAACCAGATCATTGTGGGTTTCTTTCCTCATATCTTATCTCTGGAGAATGGTCTTTTTAAAGTTTGGTTTTCACTTCTCTGAATAAACCAGGGTTTAGATTGGTACCTCATACATGTATATTATTCAATACATGTAGGTTGAATGAATATTTGTGTGAAGATGGGGAAATGTAACCAATTAGCTGGATATTTCCAAATAGATGTTTGAAAAGGAGTAGCGGATTGCTGAGAAACATTAGCTCACTGTGGGGTTTTCTTTTCTGTCTCTACCCCCAGGTATGAAGAGGAAATTAACAAACGCACAACTGCTGAGAATGACTTTGTGGTGCTCAAGAAGGTAAAGGAGGCTGGGGAGGTGCAGTGAGAACACCCTTCTCCTTGGTGTGGTCTTTGGCTGGAATCATGGGGTTGATCCATCTCTGCCTCATCTCCACCCCATTTGGTACTATCCAGATCTAAGTGAACCAGGTGCTAAGGAAGTAAGGCTGGGAAAAAAAAAAAGCCCATTTAGATCATTAATGTCCATGTCAGTAAGAGGCTTTAAGGGCAGAATATGTCAGATACTTAGTCCCTCACCATCTCACGTGATACTGAGAAGCCTTTTCTAAACACTGCTGAAAACACCTTTGTGTGTCACTTAATACCCACTGCCCCCTGTTGTAATTACTGTAGCTTGACTCTTATCCCCATCCCCACTCTTGTTCTGCAGGATGTAGATGCTGCCTACATGAACAAGGTGGAATTGGAGGCCAAGGTGGAAGCCCTTAACGACGAGATCAACTTCCTGAGGGTCCTCTATGCTGCGGTGAGAGCTCCATGGCCCCTTCCACTTAGGGGAGGGAATCCTCCATCTATGAGGCTGCTGGTTGCAGTTCACGGTTCTTTGAAAAGACTCCAGATCCTTTGCTTCAGGGCAGGGGGCTCTCAGCAAGGTCATAGATAGACAAGGTTGATGTGAGAGTTTCTCGTATCAGATGTTGTCTTAGAAGAGGGGATTTGATCTAAACTGTGTTAGAAGTTATTACCATTTAGCATTTCTTTAGTGAGACGGATCTACTCCATTTTCTTCCATCCAATGAACTGGATACCCACCTATATGAAGTGGCATAGTTCCCAGGGAGCAGAAAAGACTACACATATTGCTTTTGGTCTTGAGACCACCCACCACTTGATTTCTACATAGGAATTTACACTGGGAACGCTAATTCAGCTTCCACTGGGGCCTGGGGCATGGTTGTTTCCATGACAATAGTAGATTTCTGGTGTCAGAGATTAGAGAAGACTCTCCAGGAGGCCTGATGAGAGACATTTCCCCCTCAGGAGCTGTCCCAGATGCAGAGCCACGTCAGTGATACATCTGTGGTCCTGTCCATGGACAACAATCGCTGCCTGGACCTGGACAGCATCATTGCTGAGGTCCGTGCCCAGTATGAGGAGATCGCCCAGAAGAGCAAGGCTGAGGCTGAGGCCCTGTACCAGACCAAGGTGGGTTCTGGAGATTTCTCAGGATTTGGGAATGGCTTTTGGGACTCTGCTTTCATATCTGTGAGCAGGTGAATATCAGATAAAGCCCAAGAGAAGTCAGGCATGAACTGATTCTTTGAGGTCTGATTTGAAGTTATATGATGTTTTGTATTATCCCTATCACCTGTGGCTATTCTTGCTGAGTTGACTTGAGAAGAGACCCTACCCAGACACCTCTGACTCCTGTTTCCCTGGGTCTCCTGGGCCTTAGTACCAGCAGCTCCAGACCTCAGTTGACCAATATGGTGACAACCTGAAGAACACCAAGAGTGAGATTGCGGAGCTCAACAGGATGATCCAGAGGCTGCGGGCAGAGATTGAAAATGTCAAGAAGCAGGTAGGTGTCACTTCCTTCCAGCTGCAGAACAGGGCCAGGGCCCAAAGGCAGACTGTCTCCACACTAGATGAACAGATAAGGCATCAGGCCAGAAGATCCTGAGCTTGTCTACAGGGAATTTGTAGCTCTTTTCATAAGCCATACCAAGATCTTTTCAGTAATATCCTAGTTAACATAACATGCCACCCCAGTAAATGAGGTTTCTTGGCTCTCTGTCATTGGTTTTGACTCTTCATCTAATCAGTCAGGTGGGGACATTGGCAGGCTCTGGCCGGAGTAGATGAAATGCTTAAGAATCAGGGAAGATAGGGAGAAAGGCAGACAGAACCCTGACATCTTAACCCAAGCAAACAAGAGAGGGGACAAATATAGAGGTCTTGACAGCAAGACACTGATGGTTGTCTGTCTCATACCCTTGTCTACAGTGCCAGACTCTGCAGGCTTCTGTGGCTGATGCTGAGCAGCGTGGGGAACTGGCCCTGAAAGATGCCGACAGCAAGCGCACAGAGCTGGAGGCTGCTCTGAAGAAGGCCAAGGAGGAGCTAACCCGGATGCTGCGGGAGTACCAGGAGCTCATGAGCGTGAAGCTGGCCCTGGACATCGAGATTGCCACATACCGCAAGCTGCTGGAGGGCGAGGAGTGCCGGTGAGTGGAAGAAGGCAAGATGGGAACATGAGGAACAGAGAGGTCAGGGGCTATGGCAGGTCCAGAGCCATTCTTCAGGGCTACTTGTTTCAATGCTATTCTGGTGCATTACAAAAAAGCAGTGTTAGATAATAGGTTCATATTCAGGCCTTAAATTTGTCTGCTTAAAGATGGGAAAGATGCTTGACACCTGTTTATTGAATGAAGTATGGTTCTGGGCTCTGCCATGGCTCACTGTTCTTTGTCTCCCCCACAGAATGTCTGGAGAATGCCAGAATGCCGTGAGCATCTGTAAGTACCTTCTGTCCCTGCATGGTCATTTATTTGTCCACTCTGGTTTGAGCTATGACTCCTGGTTGCAGGCACTGTTGGAATAACCATATTTTTTTCCTTCTCTCCCACAGCCGTGGTTGGTGGCGCCGCTGGTGCAGGAGGCATCATGGGAGGATTAGGAAGCTGCTCTGGGTTTGGCCTGGGAGGTGGCTTTGGCTCTGGCTCTGGAAGTGGCTATGGCTTTGGTGCTTCCAGCAGCAAGATTGTCTCTACCACCACCCTGACCAAGAGATCTCACCGATAGAGGAGATGAGGTCCCTGCAACCCCCTGAGCCCAGCTGGGCCCAGTCTTGGTGTCTCTGTGCTTCCTTCACCTCTGCCTCCACCCTACCTTTCTGGAGCTTATCTTACCAGTGTCACCTCAATACCAGGGTGTGGACTCTGCCATTTAAGAGTTTGGTAGCTTTTTCCCGGTTTGGGCTTGGTGACTCATCTGGAATGGGAGGGTTGTCAGCTGACTCTTCACCCCACAAGGACAGAGGAGAGCGCAGCAAGAAGCTTCATCTCCAGAGTCTTCAGGGTCACATATGTCCCCTCCCAGCCCAATGCCATCTCCTACTGGATCCTGGATCAGGATCGACTCTTTCTCTGTCATTTGGCAGCAACTGGCCCTGCAAGGTCAGGACAAGAACCACTCAGTGTCCCATCCAACTTTTCTCCTTCTTTCTATCTGTCTTTGGGTGAATTTTCAATAAAAACACTTTTGTCATTCACTCTGAGCAATTGTCCTTGTTCTTTGGGAATAAGTCTCCCAAATTCAGGTGAAAGCAAGGGAGGTTGGGGTCTGAGGGCTCTGTCTGTATAGATCAAGGCCATCAGCTAATTTCTCCGGTGTCTCCTTCTGAGATGCCCATATTAGTGAGGGAGAGGTGTGGAGCCTGAAGGCTGCCTCTAGGACAGAGGCCCAGCCTCAAAACAACCAACAATTTTATAAAGATCAACCATTGTAGACAGTCAGGGCCAGGTCATCTTAATGCTGAACCTGGAGGGAAAGGGTCCAAATCTGGAAGTGTGGGCGTAGGATGAGTATGAATAGAGATAGTCAGGAGTCTCCACTGAATACAGAATAAGTGGTTAAGGAGCTTATGGAGTGTCTATACTCAGAGTCTAGCAAGGCCTTCCTAGTTATGAAACTTCATGATTGCGGCTAAATCCCACCAGAGCAGCAAGACTTTCAGGAACTTGTCTAAGAATCAACAAAGTCATGATTGTTGGACAGAAGAGTGAAAGCTTGTGTTCTTCATAGAGCCTTTGTGCTGTGCCCATTCCCCCAGCTGTGCAGGTGGCTGTATCTGGGGGAGTAGCAGGAGTGCCTGGGTGATGCAAGAGTCGGGGAGGTGAGGAAAGTCTTCCAGAGCAGTAGAGGGTGAAACTCTGTGATGGGGGCTGGCCCTGGAGAATCTGGTTTGTGAAAGGCAGAACGGGGGCGAGGACAGTCAGAGGTGGGGGTTTGGGTATAGCCTTTGTGGACACACTGTTTCTATACTGGACCAATTCCAGGATACCTGCAGCAGCATAATCTTCCCTCCTCCAGAGAAAGACTGCACAGCTCCCCACTTGCAGTCTGACCCAAATCCCTCTTACTGAAGATACAGGAAACACTCATTTCTTTGCCCACCCAAGGGCATTTATTCAGACCCCAATCCTTCCAGTGTAGTGTCCATGGGGCCCTGATTGTGTGCACATAGACTGCACACAGTTTGCCCAAGGCCAGTCCTTGCCCATTGGGCCCCATGGAGACCTGCAGGTAGGCTCGGGTAGCAGGGGTGGCTCGGGTTGCAGGGGTGGAGCAGTGAAGGGTTAATCTGGAGGTCTTGGTTTCCCTGCACTGAAGTCTTGTGCCAGGAGCAGCCACTCCCTAGGCAGGATTCCTTGGTCCTCCACAAGCCCCTCCCTAACTTTCTCATTGTCTCAGGGGCTCACCTCAAATGTCAGAACAGGAAATCTTTGACTTCTTGCCACTGAACTCCTCCCCTAAGAAAATCCTAGACTGGCTTTTTTTCTGAGTTTCTGGTGTGTCTAGAAGGAGTCAAGGGTTGGTAAAAAGGGAAGGGCTTCTAAAGTTCACCCACTAGGAAGTTGCAGGTTACTATGGGTCACACTGAGAAGTCAGGGGTGGTGGTGGGGTTGCAGGGCAGGATAATGTATTATTCATGTCCTCTGAGCAAAAGAAGTATGAGGGCAACCACTGTGAGTGGCACTGCTGGGTCTCCAGGTTTCGGGTTTGTAAGGGAAGTAGTTATGTGAGTGTTTGTTTTTTAATTTATATAAGAAGACTCCTGTTTTACAAAAAAGAGAAAAAACATTCATGTCATCCTGTATTTCCAGAACAGTCCAGGGCAGTGAATCTTGGCCATGAGCCATAGGTTTGAAGCTGGTTGGTTAATCAAAGGGAATTACTTGGGGAGGAAATCCACTTCTGAGATAATTGGTGCCACCCTTCTCTCAGATCCCTTACATTGAATTCTGGCTAGCATTTTGTGGTCAGGCGAATGATAGAGATACAGGTTGCTTTACCTGCCCCTTGTGAGCCCCCTGCCCACCCAGTGCTTTCCCTTGACGTATACTGAAATTGTTTCTCACATCGTAATGGCTCAACTGTGGGCTGGGAAATCTTTAAATCAATTTACTTGGTTCATCTGCCCTGAATCCTGCTCTCCAAGCTCTTGACTTCTACCTGGCTGCAACCTCACCCTTGGTTGGGCTCAGGCTCCTGGCTCCCAAGCAATCACTACATTTGCATAGGCCCCTCTGCCTTTACCAAAACTCTCCGTTCTGGGTCGAATCTCAGTTTCAGCAACTTCTTACAACCAATTCTGAAGTCTCCCTCCCTTGTTGCTAGCAAAACCAGAAGGATATGGCAAAGATGAGTTTATTAGTGTTGTCCTACTGTCAGAGTTTGGTTTAGTTTACTGTTGGGACCCAGGCTTTGGATTCTAAGACCTTTGAATAAAGCATGTCTGCTATTATGTCTTGGGTAGATGGTCAAGGTTTAGTGACACAGATACCTGGGCAAATAACTAAGGGAGCTGTGCCCCTGTGTGACCTCTCAAGACATGATATTAGTGGGCCAGCCCAGAACAAAGGGAAGGAGCCATCTGGGCCACTGCTCCATCTCTTTGCTGTGTTGAAGGTAGGGACTGAACAGTCATCTCTTACCCCAGGGGGAAAAGACTGAGAGTGTAGGGCCATGGCCATGAGGGGCCTTGGTGGTGGTGAAAGTCCAGGGACTCAGGCTCATTGCTGCCCATGGTTTCCTGGTTGACTTGAGTCAAGGTAAAATTGTTCAGTATCTGTAGTTTTATTCATTGAAGTGTGGATTTGATCCTCAAAAATTCAAAAGAGAAGGTTAAGGAGAAACTAGATGAGCTAGGAAGAGGTTTTCTGGAGAAAAGTTTTTTATTTCTATTGGCCAGACACCTATCAACCATCTCCCCACCTACCCACCCATTCATTAACCTTTAGATTCTTTAAGGGCAGGGACTATGCTTTATTCATTTTGATAGTTCAGGGCCATTGTGCTTGATATATCGACATTTAACAAACAGTTGAACATGGACAGTAGTGTGGTGATTGCGGGTGACGGGGAGCAGCAGGAGAAACTCCCAGCCTCATGAGAGTTTGTTAGAGAGACCTATGGAGTCCTAGAATGTACATAAATCCACCCACCGGGGAATTAGCACCAGAACGGCCCAATTTGTTTGTGGGAAGCAAGGGAAGTGACTGAAAGTGAGCTGAGATCTGAGCAAGTGGCATTGTTCCTTCTCTGGCCCGTCCCCCACATACAGTACTACAACACAGCAACGTGGGTTGCTGCGCCCTGGCAAATATCTAAGGCTCTGTCCCTTACAACATAACAGGTGTATGGAGGCAAAGAAACATGGCCCAAATGAAAGAACAGATCAAAACTCCAGGAAAAAACTAAGCAATGAGAAGATAGCCAACCTATCAGATGCAGAGTTCAAAACACTGGTAATCAGGATGCTCACAGAAATGACTGACTATGGATGCAAAATAGAGGAAAAAGTGAAGGCTATGCAAAATGAAATAAAGAAAAATATACAGGGAACCAAGAGTGAAGGGAAGGAAGCCGGGACTCAAATCAATGATATGGAACAAAAAGGAGAAATAAACATTCAACTTGAACAGAATGAAGAAACAAGAATTCAAAAAAATGAGGGGAGGCTTATGAACCTCTGGGAGAACTATAAATGTTCCAACATCCAAATCATAGGAATGACAGAAGGAGAAAAGGAAGAGCAAGAACTTGAAAATTATTTGAAAAAATAATGAAGGAAAACTTCCCCAATCCGGTGAAGGAAAGAGACTTCTGGGAAGTCTAGGAAGCCCAGAGAGTCCCAAAGAAGTTGGGCCCAAGGAGGAACACAGCAAGACACATCATAATTAAATTATCCAAAGTTCAAGATAAGGAGAGAATCTTAAAAGCAGCAAGAGAAAGGCAGAGACTTACCTACAAAGGAGTTCCCACAAGACTATCAGCTGATTTCTCAAAAGAAACCTTGCAGGCAAGAAGGGGCTGGAAAGAAGTATTCAAAGTCATGAAAGGCAAGGACCTACAGACAAGATTGCTCTATCCAGCAAAGCTATGATTTAGAATGGAAGGGCAGATAAAGTGCTTCCCCCATAGGGTAAATTTAAAGGGGTTTAACATCACCAAGCCATTATTATGAAGTGTCAAAGGGACTCACTTATCTAAGAAAAAGAAGATTAAAACTAGGAACAGGAAAATGAAAGCAAACTCACAGCAAAAACAAACTAAGCAAACAACTGGAAGAGGAACGTAATAACAGAAATGGAGATCACATGGAGGGTTATCATTGGGGAGGGGAGGGAGGAGAATGAGGGAAAAGGTACAGGGAATAAGCAGCATAAATAGTAGGAACAAAATAGACAAGAGGAGATTAAGAATAGTATAGGACATGGAGAAGTCAAAGAACTTATATGTATGACCCATGGACATGAAGTAAGGGGGGGTGAATGCTGGTAGGAGTGGGGGTGCAGGTAGAGAGGGATAAAGGGGAGAGAAAAATGGGACAACTGTAACAGCATAATCAATAAAATATACTTAAAAATTACTCAATATACAATTTTAAATTGATTATTGAAGGGTCACTCTCAGACCATGGCAAAATATACAAAATATAAAAATAAACAACATTCTACTTTCCAGTACTGGCCAGGAAAGTTCATACAGACTTGGCAGCAGAAGCAAAGCATCCTTGA